GGGTTTTGGGGAGAGGCGTTTGCGGCAACGCCAGCTGTCCCCCCCGCCGCCGTTTCTCTTTAGGGTCGGCCTTTAAGTCCGCGGCGGAGGAGGGTCAGTGCTGGACTGGTGCTCGGGTTTTTTAAAAAAAAAAAAAAAAGTTTTGTGCACGGTTTTGTGTTTGTGGAGAGGACCGAGCTTTAGTCGTAACTCTCTTTCAGGCTGTGATGAAGTCTTGGTGCGGAAAGAGGCAAGTGTTTGGCTGGGAAGGGACATTCATAACCAGTCCTTGACTTACATAGACTTTAACTAGGCAAAAGAGAGGCTGTTTCCCTGTTGTAAAATGCGAATAAACTTACTAAACTTATTCAGGAGAAACAAACAAACAATTCCTTTGTGTTTTGCCACGGAAGGGCTTGGGGAACAAGGCCTGTGTAGCCCTTGGAAGGGTTTGTAGAGAAATGGGGGGCAGGCTCTGAGGCGTGTGGTGAAAGGCAAAGGGGCAGTTACCGCCAGTGGCCCAGGAGCTCGTAAGGAAAAAATTCTTACAAGAACATTAAAAAAATCATTCACTCTGGGAGCAGTTAAGCACTGAAAGAAGTTGGAGGAGGCTGTAGGGTATCCAGCCATTGGGATAGTTGGAGCTCAACCAGGCAAGGCTCTGAGCAACTGAATGGGGGTGGGAAGGGACTTTCTTTCCAGCCCAATTTTTCTTATGACTACGTGCAAAGGAATTGCACTGTGGACCAGTGTGGTGCGGGAGAGGATTTCTACTGAAAGATCTGGTCTGTTGGGTGCACGTTACCACATCTAGAAAAGTGTTTTCTATTTGAGAAATGGAGAATAAAAACACAGAGTTGTAACTTGGGCAAAAGACTTCCCAGACCTATGTTTTTCTTAGTTTGTCAAGTTTATACCAAGGTTTGACTGAGTGCTTCACGCTGTGTCATCCAGGAGCTTTAGCTACAGGAGAAGGTAACCTGGCATATTTAATGACGGTTTGTTATCTAAAGCTGGAAGTATAAGTTCTAATGTAGACTGTGATTTCAAAATAGCCTCCCTAATTTAGTTTATATTAGTTTACGAACAGTGAAATATCTCCCTCCACATTGTCCATATGAGTGTTGATGTGTCACCCTGTATTGTCCGTATGAGTGTTCGGACGATTAACTTTCCATTTGAAGTACCACAAACAGAGATGTGTCCAACCTGTTTTGTTACGTTAGTTGTGATCGCAAAGATTTTTCTGTCTCATCTTAATCCTGGTAATTAAGAATTATTCTTCATGGTAACCTCATGCTTGACTGACCTTTTTTTTTTTTAAGGAAGAATTCATCAGTATTCATGAGAGTTGAAGGGTCTCTGATGCTGCCAAGGTGTAGCATGGGGCCTGCCGTGTGCAATGGGTACACCTGGTGGGCAGTGAACACAATTCCTCTGTCCTTCTGGGAGACCTTGCTTGTTCTCTGGGTGGGCACTTGAAGATCAGGGTCCTTCTTGAGTTACAACCTGTGCAGCTGTGAAACCAGTGGAATGTGCATGTGGATATAGGTGATGTCTCAAGTCAAAACTGGATGCTTTTTAGGATTATGTGACTAATGCTTATTTGCGGATTGTCGTGTGTGTAACATCTGCGAGAACAAGGGGCAGACAAACATTAAAGGATGGGATGAGACAAATACTGTGAACCAGAAGGAAAAGTGCTGCATGGTGTATTTCTGTGACATATCGATGTGCAGTCTCCTACTTTGGCATGATGAGTTTGTAGGGACCCTGAATGTACCGTTGCAGAGGAAATGAGCACATCTTAGAACTGACATTTGGAGCTGATCAGAGGTAGAAAGGAGTAGTTTTCTTGATGAATATTTTTCTACTAAGTTGTAATTTTATTTTTTTTTAACAAGTGCTATTGCTGGATTAAAACAAGGAGGGCTGTGTGCATAAATCCAGAGAGATGGTAAAGTATCTCAAACGTGGCGTGTTCGTGTACTTGCATAAATGGGCTAGTTGCGTTTGTTCCCTTCCCCGGGAAAGTCTTGCAGTTTGGGTAAGGAAATGAAGGCAATGGGTTCTGTGTTCCTGGAGGGATTTGATTGTGTGTCCTCTCTATCTTAGGTGATAGACTACTGTACCAGTTAGTTTAGTTATTTGGCATACCAAGACTTGGTTCAGTGATGAGAGAAGGAGGCAGGACTGTGAGGTGCAGAAGGGGTGGTGTTGGTAGATATCTGGACAGACTTACAGGGAGTATTGGGGAGGAGCGTGGTCATGGCTTGCTTGGAAACTCGGCTCTTGGGGAGGCACAACACAGCGGCAGAACTAGGTTTTCTGTGTAGGAAGATAAAAGCTCCTCTGATGGTGTTTCCTGAAATGCCCCTGCTGTCACCTGCAGGGAAATACAAGGTCAGACAGACAAGAGTCTCGCTGTGTAGCTGGGAGTGTGGTATAGGAGGAAAGTGTTCAGGCTCACTGGGAACTACAGAAACGTGGAACAGAGGGAGCTTGTGCGGAGAGGAAAACTTTCATCTAGAGAAAATCAAAACCAGGCTTCTGGCACTTAGAATTGAAAAGCTTTCATAGGGGAGCCTTTAACAGTTTCTTAAAGGCAGAGTGTTGGATATGGAAGAGCATACTGTTTGGGATGATGCGTTTCCTTGGGATGAGGGGGAGTGTGTGTGCCTTTGAACAGGTGTCAGGATTGAGGTGGTCAGAATGTAGTGGAAATGGCAAAGAGTAGTTTGAACATACAGTCCTAGTTCAGTAGGATTTGGGGGGGCTGAAAGGGTGGCTGTACCAAAGCTTATGTGCTTCTACAGACAGATCTGGAAGGTACAACAGGGAACTGGAACTGCTGGTTTGAAATGGGAATGCTTATCCAAAAGGTTTATCAGGCCTGTCTGTGGGACCTTCTAATACTAGGGCACAAATTACCCAGGAAAGATGGAATAGCTCACCCCAAGGGAGAAGTGGCAGTATGTGTGGAAGAAAGCTTTAGTGTTAAATCTGATTCCTGGTGGGTTTTGTCAGTGAAAGTCATCTGGACTGAAATACCCACCCTGTGGAGAACAAACAACCCGGTAACTGACCATCCAATGTGATGGAGAGAATGACTGCTCTGTTGAGGAAAATCAGAGGGGCACCAAGGACTGGATAGGAAAGCAAAAGGAGGAATTACTTACCCTTGTGTAGCCTGGATCACACATGTCGGGGCTTGATGCCGAGTGCAATTGTTTAGCTGCCACAAATGATGGCTTCTTAGAGCCATTACTCGGAGAACCCCCGAGAAAAGCAGCAGTTCTTGACTCGATCCGGAGCAGTGCTCAGGTAATTGGATTCAGATGTTGCTTTAGAACAGCCAGACTGTAGTTTTAATATTCTTGCAGGAATAATAAAAGCCAAAGAAACGAATGATGCATTTAATTTCGGAAGGGGGAATTGCATAAGATGAGGAGGCTTGCTAACTCGCATATGGATTAAATATAAAAACCAGAATAAGGCAGACTGAAAGAGTTTGAGAAACAGCTTGCAAAAGGGATAAACCCAGCCATAAATCCTTTTCTTCTGATGTGCTGGGGTGGGGCAGGGAGAGGTGGCCACAAAATTTATAAGGCTGCTAGGAGTTGGGGCTAAGAGAGAACACCTACAGAAAATAAAACTTAATTTAAAAGCTTAATTGTGTGCACCCATGTTCATTATGGAGGTGCTTAGGGAGGTTTTAATGGAAAATGGTGACATGATAAGCATATCGGAAACTTTGAGTGCAGTATCCTACTGAGCACTGTAATAGCAGGCTCCGAGACAGAATCTTTCTCTATGGGGAGAATCATTAGAGGATATGTCTCGTTAATATGCCAGAAGAATTGGCTCTAGAAAAAAATCAACAACATGAACAGTGTTTAAGTGCCATGAGTTGATCATATACACCTGAGACTTAAAAGAAATTTAAATCTGAAATTGCTGAAGTCTGAACTCAGGTGCATAACCTATCACATGACTGCTCCTTTCCAGGAAAATGGAAATATGCCAGTCTGTTAAGATTTTGGAGGGAGGTGCAGCAGGCACAAAGCCAGATTTCTCTACTCTGTAAATTGAACTAATGAGTAGGCATGAATTACAGAAGAGTGAGTATGGCTTTGTATGGCGGCCTGTTTTGTGTTTTTTCCCCTTCAGAAGTGTGTTTTGTTTTGCAGATCTGCTGAAGTTCTCTGAAGGACTTCATAAGAGTGTGGCCATGGATGAGTTGGTTGATGTACTTGGATTCCCAAAGACTTTTGATAAGTCTGTTAAAGATTCCATGGGAACCAAGGTGCTGCGAGACCAGGGAAGGCCTGGAGTAATAACTAATAGAAAACAAAGAGTAGGAGTTAAGCTTCAGTTTTTGCAATATGGGCATAGAATTGTTTTTAATTGTTTTCTGTTGAATTTCACAGGGATCTCGTAAGGCACGTGCTTTTCAGCATACTTATAAATCTGCTAAAAGAAAAGAAAACTGCCAGTAAAGAGCTGCAGAAGGATCTCTACATTTTGAAAGACTGAGCAGTGAACATAGAATGAAATTTTGTGTTGGTAGATGCAAAGTAACACAAATGATTCTGACTTTATATACACATTGGTGGCTTTCTACTTAGGAATTTCTAGCCAATAGTTCCTACTTAGGAAAGTGATCTTGGAGTTAGACTTGATTATTTTAGAGAAAGTCAGCTAGTAATATTGCTTTCTTGAAAAGTAATGAGCTATTTAGACAGGAAGGAAGACACCACTAATACGTACAACTGTGATTTGACCGTATCTTGAACCTGGTGTACAGTCTGCTTTTGTCTTCTTTCCACTACCCAGACATGATGTAACTGCACTGTTGTAAGATGCATATTGTTTACAAGGAACAATTAAATACAGTAGGACTTATCAGTCCGAAGAGGATATATTTGAAGGACACTGAAATTCTGTAAAAGTATGAATGCCTCAGAGAAAGTTGTTGGAGAAACAATGGATATTTATTCATTTAACACAAAAACTAGGGGGCATCTAATATTTGTGTAATTTGTATAGTTTTGAAAATTGGCCAGACAAATCAAGGAAGGAAAAATCCACCAAGGACAATAAAATGATGGCAACTATGGCTTACAGATCCCTTGATCTACAGATTCTTGGAACCTGGGAGACTAGTGTCAAAGATGGTTGCTCTGGTCCCTGGTTGACATCTGACTCTGGGTGGTGTCAGTGTGGTGGTGTGGGCTAGGCAGACATTTGGCATGACCCACTGTAGCTTTTCTAATGTAAAGCACAGAAAAGTACTCCTGCACCAACTGTTTGCCCCTGTAATGTATGCACTGGGTCACTCCCTAGGGTAATGTGCTCTGAGTAACTAGAAAAAAACCTACTTCATGGTCTTTCATGGCAGGCAGCAGCCACTTACTTGAAATTCTCCTTTGTTACTGTCATTCCCCCAAGGCTGTCAATTTTGCATGGCCAGTGGCGCCACAGGTGTGAAGAAAAATTGGAGGAAGCATGAATATTTGTTTCACCCTCCCTTCTAGAAACTATAAACTGGTACTCTTTATCTTAAAATGTCATGATCTTTGGATGGCATTTTTATTTGATCTCTTTGGTTTGTGGCTCATTTTAAGGTTGTGAGGCATCTTTGCAATCAATTCCACCAATGCTCATAATGTAGGACTGGGAAAAACATTTGTCTGTGTGGCAGGGGAGGGATGTACCTTAGTAGCTGGATGTGTGCCTCTCAAAAAAAAAAAAAAAAAAAAATCACTCTTATTACATAGGAGTCCAAAAGAGTTCAAAATGCATTGGGCAAACTAAGGCAACTACAGCATTGCTGTCTTCCAGTTTATTTTCCAGTTGGTGTGAGACCAGAAGGCAAATGCTCCTACACAGGCAACCTTATTCTGCATGCTGAGACCACGGAGTCACAGAATGACCGAGGTTGGAAAAGACCCCTTGGGATCATCCAGTCCAACCCCGTGCTCAAGCAGGGCCACCTAGATAAGGTGGTCTAGGATTGTGTCCAGTCAGGTTTTGAGTATCTCCATGGATGGATACTCCACAGCCTCTCTGGGCAACCTGTGCCAGTCCTTGACCACCCTCAAGTAAAAAATGTTTTCTTATGTTCAGATTAAATTTCCTGGTTTTTTTTTTTTTTTTTTAAATTTGTGCTCACAAGGTTCTGTGCCATTAAAAAGAGACGTGGTGTTACATCAGCCTGGACTTAGAGGAGCGGAAGGCTGTAGCAGTGCAAAGTGTCCGGCTGGGGCATGAGCAATATCACAGAAGCCATCTGTGGCAGGAGTCTGGAAGTGATGCAGTTCATACTGCAGCCAGTATCGGTTTGAATTCACGCTAACTCAGTATACAGCGGGGCTATTTTTTTTTAATTCCAGAGAGAGCTTGTTGATTGATTTGTACAATAAAATACCTGAGAATTTTCATGTGGAAAAGCCGTGTTCAATGTGAATTAGCTGTCAGGCACAGTTAGTGGAGTTTTTGGTGTCTGGGGACAGCAGTTTTAGGCTCGTCTAAGAACAGATCTGTGCTTCCTGCTGTCAGTTGAAGTGGGACTATCTTGATTTTTTTTTTTTTTAAAATTTATTTTGAGACACCTCACTTTTCCTTTCTGTTTCTCTTGCTTTGCTTTTAAAGGCAGCTGGGCATCCCTATTGTGTCTAGCATGTAATGAAATCTCTTACCATTTGTCTGTAAGGTTCTGTTTTCATCTGGACTGTCAAATGGCTGTTACAGAGAAGTGATGAATTAAATACAACTTCAGGTGACTTAAGTGCCATTTGTATTTTCACAGTACTTACCGAAAAAGTAGAGAACTGCATCACTATCGGTATTTTATAAATCACCGTGGAGTTCCACACTTGCCAGTTTTTCTTCATGTGTCTATTACAGTAACATGGTGTGTGAAAAAGTTGTACAGAATTGATGGGTCTGTGACATCCTTATGAAGACAGTGAACTTGTTCAGCATTGCATACTAAATGGCAATGATATGAGGTAGAAATGACAAAAGTAACTGGAGATAGAAATGCTGTATTTCTTTCCCTTCCCATTTTTGAAGTTCTCATACCTTACATATTTGTCTGTTTATGTGAACTAGCGAGTATGGATTTTCCACATGTTGTTGAAAGCGCTCTTTTTCTTCCTTTTTCCCCAGGAAAATGGGTCATGCCAGAGACTTCAAAAACTTATAGAAATTAACTCTTACTCATTTTTTTTATAAATCCTTTATAGGAAGAACAAGACTTTAGTTAATCTCTGTGATATAAGGAAGATTTTTTTTTTTTGCAAAAAGACTATATAACCTTTTTCTAATCAGTAACATTGTCTTCTTTATTTTACTAGTTATTGGACAGCCTGCGAAGAGTAAGCGTCCAAAAGAACCTGGGGAAAACAAAATTAAGCCTGTTAACAAAAAAGTAAAACCCAAAACCGCCAAAATGAAGGAGAGAGAATCTGACTCCGCTTTGAAGTCCCAGTCCATACTGACACAGGTGATGGATAAAGGTCGTTTCCAGAAACCAGCTGCCACTTTAAGTCTGTCTGCAGGACAAAGCATAGAACTGCGATGTAAAGGGAGTAATGTGACTTGGAACTATCCTTCATACTTAGACACCTTTAAAGACTCCAGACTCAGGTAAGCTATTTTTCATTTTTTGGGAGAAAAGAAATCCAGAACCTTTTTCCTACTACTTTCAACACTGTTGAGGTGGGGGTTTTTGGTTTACATTTTTTACAATCAAGATGTTCCATCTGGTGGTTTCTGATGTCAACAAAAAAGGATGTGAGCATCTTTCAGTCATCACCAATTACTACCCTGCGACTTGCACTGTGGAATAGTCTTGTAGTATGTGAACTGGATTTCCTTCAGATGAATCTAAAATAGACGATGTGGTCCAGCAGGACACCGATGTGCTCCAACTACTAACAGGGAGCCACATTAGAGCTAATCTGAAGTAAGACTCAGAGAATGTGTGAGTGTGGCTGTCAGGTACTCACTACCAACTCTGCTCTACAGAAACCTGCTCCTGGTAGGTGGTAGCTACATTAGCAACCAGCGCAGCCTGAGACACTAAGATTAATTTCCTGAAGAGGCTCAAACCCATGTCTGTCAGCTAGCAAAAAAAAAATACACTAACTGCCATGCTAGGGGGCAAGTAAGACTACTCTTTACTTTTTCAAAGTTACCTTTGTGTGCAAAAGTGAATTGCAGGGCTTGTGGTGTGGCAGGGTTTAATGCTGAGGATAGTCACATTGGTTTAGGAAGGCTCTTTCTTTCATGTGGTTTCCATTAAGATGTCACTAAATAAATAGCTTTAGAGCAGGAAAAGGAACTGAGGACTTTCTCCCTTTCTCTGCCACACCAGGTGAGTGTCCTGTTGCTCTAAACATCATCTCCAAAAGCTCATACATTTGTTTACCTTCCCAGTTTTTGAGGATAGTACATATAGCTAAATGTAGATTAAATGTAGTGATTTAGTTCTGTATTTAAAAGGAGGGGCGTATAAGAAGCTGACAGATGTTTTCCACAGGTGTGGGTTTTTTTGCCACAAGTAGTGTTTGTTTTCACTGGCTGTTCTATGAAGATTTGTGTGTCTAGGAAAGACAAGTAGTGAGGAGACTGGAGCACTGTGAATGGTGCCCTGAGAGCTTGTAAGGAGCTTCTCTTGGATTATTAGATGAGTGGCACAGAGGTATGAGCAAAGATACCAACTCCTATTGTCCTTCTGTTCCTAAATTAGGTACAAGTGTGTATGCACGCTGTAAGTAATGGAGCTTACCTGGATCTCCGATCCATTTCACTTACAAGTATGAAGCTACCTTAAAATCACTCCCAGTTAATTAATCTTTCAGATATATCCTTCTCCTTTCCACTTCTCTTTTCAAAGGGGAGTGTTGTAGATTGGCAGTTATACACTGTGACCTCTGGCATATCCTTCTGAAATTCGTGAGCCAGCTCCTCTGAGCGTTTATTTTCTTGTTCCCCCAATGGCTGAGGAGTTCAAGAACTACACTGACTGAATAAACCTCTGTAGCTAGTGCAGGGCTTCTGTCATAGTACGTTGCAGCCTATTGCTGCTGAGGCCTTATCGCAGCAACATCTCTCCAAAGATCTTGTGACCCATTTAAATAACTGCTGCTTTTTTCTTTTGCAAGAAAAGATGTTTTATCTGGACTCCGTCCAGTAGGTGGCGGTGGTGAGCTGCGGCACAGACCTGGCCGTGCGGGAGGGGCGGTGGTGGTGGTCGTTTTCAAGGGCGTCGTACGTCTTGTGCCTCTGCGAACAGGTCGGGGGCATGATTTAGTCCTGTAGACCTCCAGGTCATGTTATCTGAGTGTTAGCATCTGGCATTGAAGAAGGCAAGGCAGTTATTCACAGTCTTTGGGGAGGAGTCTGGGTGGTGCTTCGTTATTTGTTTGACACTTCATTCCTCTCTTGCAAAATTAAGTGCTTCTCTAGTGATGCACGTGGGACCAAATACAAGAATTTAAGGTAGTTTGGGGAAAAAAGATAGACATTTCCTAATTGTGTAGTATGGTATTTTGTAGTTTGGGATTGTTGCCTCAGCAACTTACCTTTCTGTTTTCACTCAAGTTCACAGTATTTGTGATATTTTAATCATATGACAAAAGTTAGTAATATCACACAAAATAAATGCTGTAAAACATTTTGGCTGGCTGGATAGAACTTGCCTAAGTATTGTCGTTTAGAAGTATGTTAGGCTAAAATATAAGGGTCTATATTGAAATATGATGACCTTTGCTTTAGAAAAATTATTTTGAAATAAGTTATTGAAGCAGTAAGGCTGAGTTAGACTGAATCAACAATTTTAAACATAAGCAGAAGATCCTATAATTAACTAGAAAAATTGAAAACGTAGATTAGTAGCGCGCTTCAGAGTCACGGAATAGTATTAATTTACGGAGACATTGACTGCAGAATCTGTGCAGTTATATCTTCATCACATATTTAGCATGACTTTGTTAGTTATCTCAAGACCTTTGCTGTAGTGCCAATAGATGCATATGAAACGAAGCCTGCTTTGTAGAATGTGAAATATGATACTTATATTCCGTGGTTTTTAGAAAGCTTTAACTGAAAGTATCATGAAGATAGCATGTTATTTAGTTAGCTCGGTTAGTAGTGTTTGTAAGTGAACTGGCAGCAGAAAAGGTTAATGATGGTTAATAATGTTATCCTCTTTCAAGAGGAGCTTAGCTTTCCCTTACAGCATACAAAAGACCATGCACCAAGCACTGACTACGGTAGGCAAATTTAAAAATTTTATGAATACGTTATGCTCATTATTTTAAAACAAAATGCTGAATATAGGGCAAAGGGGGGAACATCGGAAAAAAATTAGTGGCAGATAACCTACAGCAAAAATTGTTTAATCATCTGGATAGATATCTCTCCAGTATCTTCTTACACTTTTTGAGTGCTTACAGACCAAGTATAAGGTCATCCCCTCATTACCAGTGACTGAGGCGTGGGGTGAAACCCGAGCTAAGTAACTGTGCCGGGCTTTCTTACCTTGGATTTCCATGCTGGTCTTGCTGGAGTTGGGGCACTGGTGCAAACAATGTTGGTGGCAGCAGCAGGGAGGAAGAGGTTGGGCTCTGAGGAGGTAATGGGAGGTGAAGAAGAAGATGGTTGCCAGGCCTGGAGAATAAAAGAGGAGGAGGGGCAATGACGCTGAGGCCCATGCAATTGCTGGGGAATAATGACTACCGTGCTTTGGCTCATTTGTACATCCCTACAGCAACAGATGCTCAAGCATCCCTCCAATTCCTGCTTTTTTTCCTTTAAATAATAGGAGAGATGTACAAATTCAGCTGGTCTGGTGGGAATTTTAGCAATAAGCAAGATGGTTTATGTCTCGGGAACTGCTAACATCTTCTAACTCCAGCTGCTACAAGAGGAGGCTTAGGGAGCCTGGCATCTAACAATTGCGGTTACGGGAGGCAGAAGAGACCTTAAGGGTTGGGGTGGTGGGGGCCCTCAGTTGGTCAGAGGGTTTGTTAAGAGCAGAGGTCCAGGGCAGGAGCTGATGCTGAAGACACTGTGTTCTCTTTCCTGTCTGTAGTTCTGAAAGAGGAGGGTGTTTTGGTTTGCAACTAGTTAAATTTAATGTCCACATAACATATTTCCTATGTGTGGTTGCAAAAAGAAGTAGAGATAAAAGCCAGATGTTTTGTCTCCATGCTGTGCTGATCATGTCTTTCACTCACCCATATGGTAGGGAGAATACAGCAGCCTGGAGGACAATATGACTTTTCTAAGAAGGAAGAGACTGTAATTAGAAAAGCCATTTCTGTAGTGTTAGTGGCTATGCTTTCTTTGAGTTTGTCTTTGTAGGTGTACGTTAGGATCTGGTAAATAAAATATTTTTGCTTGCTGTACTAGGTTCTTGTTAGGTCTGTAGCTGTTCACAGATGCTAAAATTATCCTGTGGGAGGAGGGAAAGATGCTGAGTGAAAGGAGGAGGACTCTTTGGCTGTTTCTTGTTGAGCCAGAGGAGATATCCTCTCTTTGCACTATCCGAACTGGAGTAAGTAACAGTACACACTGAAATTAATTACTTAGCTTTAGAGACTGTACCGTGCAATGCAACTCTGGGGAGAAAGCTAGAATCATGCAAACTTGGCTCCCGAGTTAAGGACGCACACCAGCTCGCTTCAGGACTAGCTTATTATCTGTAATGCTCTCTTGCCTTGTGCAGCATTAAATATACCCTGCACACAACTTGTTGTCTGAAAATTTTGTGTACTGGCTGAAGCGGCCAAAAATCTTGGCGGTGTTAACAGTCAAAGGTAGCTCGTGTACCTCCAGAACTGCAGGGCTGGAATGCTGTTTTGTAAGACTGTGCATAACAAATTAATGACTGTAGGCTCACCCAGAAACTGGATCATACAATGCATGAGAAGGATCAAAAACTGAGAGGGATGAAAGAAAAATAAGGGCAAGCACATTTTTCCCTTTCTAACGCTTTATAGCAAAAAGCTGCTGTAGGTGAAGGCAGTCAAACTTCACATCGTCTCTGCTCTGTCTGACTGGGAGCACGGGTCTCTCACTTGGTGAAGACCAGCTGTATTTGTCACAGAACTTTGTCTGGTAAATAAACTCATGTGAAACGGAACTGCTCCTGTGGAAGAAGCTGGGGCAAAGAGCTGGACATGCATCATGTGCACGTTTGTGTGTGCAAGGGGTGTACGGATGGGAGCACTCTCACAAGTACTGAGGAAATGGTGTTGTAGAAGGCAAAATTAGACTGTTTTCAGTGAATGCGGGCTCCTGCTGGCTTAGTGGGCTGTCGGTTGTACTCGTGTGTATAACAAAATTTCATTTTGTTCCATGTCTCTGAAGTCTGAAAGCTAGGGATGATTTTCTTGTGTTAAACAGTAAGATGTTATGTTCCTCTCCTAGTGAGCTTGTATTTGAGATAAACTCTCTTTTGTCAGTATGAATGCAGCTGCTTGAGAGGAGTTTGCTAGATGCTCTTTGAGTGATGCTATGTACACTGTCTTTTTGTCCTTTTTTTATAGCTTCTAAACTTGGCATAGTTTGGCAAAGATCTTTTGAACTTCAAATGACTAAAGCTTAGTAAGATGAATGTATGGAATAGGATTTTTGGAGTAGTTTTCTAGTTCTTTAAACAGTCTTGAAGTATTTGTATGTACAACATTTTTGCTTTGTGATATGTAGAACACAGGAAAGTTTTGGCTTTTGAGTGAGATTTCCCAGCATCTAAAATACTAATGAAATAAAAGTTATCCTGGAAATATTGGTCAGCTGCAGGATTTACCATTTATAATTTACTTTATATGGCCTGTTTTGTCTGCTTAATATGGTCATGTGACAAGTATCAACACTTTCACTCTCAGTTGCCAGGTTTTGTTAGTGCATGTTTGTGGATGACTACCTCGCTAGGCTATTTCCATTGATTACTGCATAGCTTGTTCTCAGTTAAGTAGAACACGCTGTACAATGATTAATTAACTCTGACCTTCTTTTTGTGTCTGTTGGGATTTCGAGCTATAGTTCAGTGTCTGCATTAACAGTTGGAGGAAAAAATGTTCTGGCGTAATGGTTTCTCTGTAATGTTGACATTTAGTACTGGATACTTGCAAAACATTTTATGCTGATGTAGTCATGTAGCCCATGAAATGTGAACTGTGCAACTAAATAATAATATAATAATAATAATACAGACTAGGACATGTTTGGGATATTTCTTTTCTTCCTGTTGGGTATGATACACAACAGGATTTCTTGCACGAATAGGAATCTCTCAAAGCTTATCCAAAAAAAGAAGATAGCTTATATTATAAGGTAGCGTATATATTAAAAATGAAGATGCTACTACTCCATAATGACATGATTCCAAAAAGCAGAATCAGACGAGATTATGTAGGACAAATGCATGAGTGGGTAGGAAACATGGTTTGCCTGTTTCCTTAGGCAGGCCTCAGAACTGCCCCGTGGTGGATGAGGGTACTGATGGTGTTGGAGGGAAAGTTGTCCCTGTCTGATGGGAAAGGTGATTCTCAGTTAGCCCTCTTTTGGGTTGTGTATTTGCTGTGGTTTTAATTTCTAAGCTGCTGGCCCTGGCTGGAGGCCAAATCTTGGGTTACGTGAACTGTTGCTTATGATTGCTGATAGCAGTGCAAACTGCTAGCAGAACTCCAGGGGAGCTGGGGATTTGGAGGTGCATGTAGCTGGAAATAGTGGCCTCTGTGTAAGCAGTTAGTGGGGGGCTGCCTGCAGTGGAGATGTGAGCAAAATAGAGCATCTAGAGCACGCAGAGCTGTTGGGCATGTCTGTAGTACCGCTGTTACATGGTGACAAGGTGTTAGAGGGTGAGAATGTCTTCAAAGCATGCTAATCCCAGAGATAAATGATTCGAGCATCTGCCTTACAGAATAGCTGCCACATTAATAAGAAGAAATAGGAGGATAATAAACATTAAGAGAACTCACAGTTGAGCAAGAGTATGGGAGCTGTTCAGACTTCATGCAAGCTATGTATTTGTCCGGACCCTGTTTGAAATGCTGAAAAGAAGTTTGCTATCAAACGCCTAAAACTGGAAAAATCTCTCCTGACTTGGTTAGAGCAGAAATGACCTTATAACTTCACATCTTGCAAAGGAAAGCAGGAAACCTTCGTGTTCTGGATGTGCTACCATGTAAAGGCAGGTGGTTGAAAATAACATCTTTAAAGGTCAGAGCAGCAGTGGAGCACATTGGTCCTACCACACACGGCTATCCTGAAAGGGTTCCCCGGGAACTGGTACTGTTGGACTGTTGCTTTTGCAATCCGTCAAAAGGCAACACATCAGACTGCCAACTATAACACCATCTGTCTGCAAGAAGGAGCCAGGAAAGCAAACCTTAACGTAAAACAAGAACAAGATGAGATTGTAGCTGCTGAATTTCATAGATGGGACCTTTGGCCCTCAGAAACATTGTCAGTATCTACATATGTATAAATATTTGCACATTTACGGATGTCAGCTCACTGAGAGATGTATTTGGGAAATTCAGGAGAAGGAGAAAAAAGCAAATGAAGTCTGAAATAATCACACAGAGTTGAATTTTGCATAGTTACATGGTGACACTGCCAGTACACCTCCAGCGGTTCTTGGAGTCATGCTCTGAAATAGCTGAGGGGTGATGAGGAAACTCTAGCGAGAGGAGGCCAGTGAGATGGCTTAGGGCAAAGGAGCAGGCAGTGCAGGACGACTTCCTTGCAGAACAAATCCAAGCTGAGAAAGCAGGTCTTTATGATGGTGTTTGCAAGCGGAAACTTGGACCAGTATGTTAAAAGATGGGCAAGTGTTCATGCTGAAAGCAGACATAAATCGTCAAACTCTTATTAAAGTACCTGCTACTTACTGCTCCTCGTTTATCTTTGTTACATACTATTGAAGTGGTGCTACAGTTAATGGTATCAAAAAAGGACTGAGATGCATGCAGGTTGACTTGGAACATGAAAATATGGAGTATACGTTGACAAACTGAGACAAAACATAGATGAACGTATCGGCTACAGCAGTGACAGCCCACTTACAGAATGGGGACTGAAAGGAATCCAGGAATGAACTGTACAAGGCAAAGGCTTGCAAGCGCTTGTGTGTAGTTGAAATCAATAAAACAACTCCTGTAAGCAGGTCTTTGCTGGAGCAAAAAGGAAGCTGCAACATAGCTCTGAAAGCAAAAGGTGGATCGGTTGCAGAGTAGGAGTAAAAAACTCAAAAGGAGAAGTGAGCTGACAGAAATGTATGAGGACATACATCTGTGCTTGTCTGACTTTTGTTTTTCTTCTCCCCAGTATAAAGCAGCTTGACAGGTATGGTCAGCTGATCCTCGCAAACTCCACTGCAGCGGACACAGGTGAATATGGCTGCTGGCTTCAGCTGTGCAATGGTAACAAATGCAGGAAGGATGAAACTAAAACAGGTTCAACATACATCTTTTTCACAGGTAATTAACTCACTGGGGGATTGTTAATGGAAATATATTTGCTGGTAAGACAGGAATAAAGCTACATCAGCGATTTCACTGTCAAGATTTTTCTTCCACAATTTTCATCTTTTTTTAGTGGATGTTAAGGAAGACAGTGCTGGTGAGCAGAAAATTACTTGCTTAGTGTGATTTATAAGTCCATTTTCCCTATAGATTATGCTAGATGTGTGCCCAAAATAATGCATAATGCAATGGAAAGCAAATACCCTTGAAAATACTAACACGTGTTCTGAGGATTTTCTACAAAATGAATAAAAAATGTTTACTTTTTGAAAATGTGTTTGGATAAAGAAAATAAATCTGTGCTGAAGATCCATTTTGTCATGGCATTCAGATGACCATGTGGACTTCCCCTCCACCTTCCACTTACCTGCACTGACTGACTTAAAAATCTTGGCTTCATTGATGTTGGTAAGGCCACAATTTCTCCCAAGTGTCTATGTAGCATGTTGAGAGGCAAAACACTCTTAAGTACATGTGTTGTCCCCCAGAGCTTAAGGTTGACTGTAGCCCTGATACTGCATGGGTGGGGTCATAGTAGGTAACTGTGCACAGTTGACTGCTACGTGGTACAACAGAGCTGAAATCTAATGGTTAATTTGTTCTTCTCATGGAAAACATTCTGAATGGTAAAACAACCTTTGCTGCCTGATTAGAGCTGAAGCATTCTTGGCTAGTAAATATTTTGGTACGAAATGCCAAGATTAGATTGTTTGCGATATGTTTTTGGAGCTAAATTAGACCATGAGACTGTGGAGAAGCCATTTATCAGAGGTGCTTAATGTTTCTGAGGATATATTCCTTTAGAAAGGCTGGAATAAACATTTCAGGCAAGTTATTATGTAAATGCTCATGCTAGAAAGAGGAGTTTCAGCTTTGTATTTCTAAGCAGCAAGCCAAATATGGAAATACTCTAACAGTCATTCTAAAAGCACTAAATATTTCAGCTACTTACAGCAGTAAATCAAACATTTTGCCTAAAATCATATGTATAAAAAGACTGTAGCTCCAAAGAATATCTCTTTCTAGTAGTGCTTATCTTGGTGGTGGTGGGTTTTTATGTGTGTTACCCTTTAAAAGTGGGCGAGTGAACAGAACTAGATCCAGGTGAGTATTTGGAAACTTATTAAAAAAGAATTCCAAAGATTTTCTTAAGATTAAAAAAATCTGATTACAGTGAAGAATACTCTAGGGTTTTTTTTTTTTGTTTTAACGTTTTAATGCAAGCAATATAAATATATACTTACAGCTTAGAGAAGTTTTTGGTTTTTTCTTTTGTGTGTGCGTATTTAAAGTAAAAAGCTTTGGGTTAATTTTTTAATGTTGCTTAGAGCTATTTTCTCTTGTCATATGTACTTTCTCTCTGTTTAAACCAAGATGTAGACGTTATTCTGACTATATCAACTCTTCTGCACAGATAAAGAAGAACTTTTTGTGCCTACTCCCAGTTATTTTGAGATTGTCTACCTGAACCCAGATAAACCTGCAGTCATCCCATGCCGTGTTACTACTCCTTCAGCAAAAGTAACTCTACACAGGGAATTTCCAGCAGAAGAAATTGAAACAGATGGAACAGATATTATTTATGATGTGAAGAAGGGTTTTGTCTACCAGCACCCTACTTCTGATCATAAAGGTATCGTCTACTGCAAAGCAGAGTCACAGGGAGCACCTCAGATTTCCATCAAGTATCACCTACTATATGTGGAAGGTAAAGTGCAGTTTTCTATATGTTTACACAGACTCTTGTTTCTTCTGCTGACATTGTTTAGAAAACAAATTTTAAAAAAGTAGTTAAGTAATGTAAGAGTTTTAAAATCTTGATTAAATATGTATATGATAGAACTTGGTAGGTTTAAGTTCCAGCAGTTTCTCAGTATAGAAGGGAGAATTGCAGGTATACATCGATTACCTGTTGCGTTAGGCAAACTGAGGCAAAAATTTTTACACTCTTTTTATCAGTGTATTTAACTCTGGAAACTAATTTTCTACTTCCAAACACTGTCTTCCTGTCAGTTCCCAAGGGCCCACCCTCAACCACGATTGCAGCGTCATCCAATAGAGCAGAAGTCAGTGACAGCGTTCACGTAATCTGCACAGTCCTCGGGGAGCCAGATGTCGATGTGGACTTCAGGTGGCAGTACCCAGGGCAAGAGGTAAGAGATGCGTGCCCTGTCTGAAATGGCTTGTTCTTCATAAAGGCAATGCTTTGAATGCCACTCAGTGTCTAGATTTGGAGTGAAGAGTCTTTCGGTTTGCGGTGCCTGCCTCTTGCTAGCTCAGGCACGCTGGCAGGAGGAGGCAGCAGATCACTTTTGAACTTCAGCCCATCTTTCCCTGAGAGCCTAGAAGCAGCGCAGGAATGAAGCTGGAGAGCTCTACCCATGTTGGCAAAAAGCTGAGCAAAGCTCGCTCCTCCCTCCGGTTTCCATTCCAGAGACACTTGGCCTCTGGCAGTGTTTACAAAGAAAAGCCTCTGACAGGGTCAAAGCCAGCCAGCGTCAGGAAGCTATTCTAGGGCAAGCCACAAAGCCTCACCGATGCCTCTGCATTTAATACCCCTTCCAGCTCCATGGCTCCGGCACACAAATCATCACAGCACAGAATCTTTAAGCTTACTTGTTGCCCACATGCAGAAGCACAGAAATCTGCTTCTGCCCAGCCTCATCTGAAAAAATCCACTGGAAGCATCCAGTGAATCTTAGAACTTTGTTAGTCCTTTTTCTTGCACAAGATAAGGTGTATCTGACTAGCATCTGTGATGTTCCCCTCTCTTCTCCCTCTGCCCACCCTGACCAGTTACAATAGGGACTTGTTTCTTAACCAGCCTCATTGCTACTGCTGTTTATCCTAAGTAGGCTAGGAGCAAAGGAAGGACTGCTGGAAGATGGAACCCTTCACCAGAGAGCAATCCTCTAGGACCTGAGGCTTTGCATTTTATACCATTTGTTGGAGCGAGTCCAGAGGAGGCCATGAAGATGATCAGAGGGCTGGAGCACCTCTCATATGAAGACAGGCTGAGAGAGTTGGGGTTGTTCAGCCTGGAAAAGAGAAGGCTCCAGGGAGGCCTTAGAGCAGCCTTCCAGTACCTAAAGGGGCCTACAAGAAAGCTGGGGAGGGACTTTTTACAAGAACCTGTAGTGATAGGACAAGGGGCAATGGCTTTAAACTGGAAGAGGGAAGGTTTAGGTTCGATATTAGGAAGAAATTCTTCACTGTGAGGGTGGTGAGGCAGTGGCACAGGTTGCCCAGAGAAGTTGTGGCTGCCCCATCCCTGGAAGTGTTCAAGGCCAGGTTGGATGGGGCTTTGATCAGCCTGGTCTGGTGGAAGGTGTCCCTGCCCATGGCAGGGGGGTTGGAACCAGATGGGCTTTATGGTCCCTTCCAACCAACCCGTTCTATGATTTGCCAGCCCTCCTGGTGCTGGGTTGTCAAAGAACGATGAAGAGCTTGCTAATAAGGCCCTTGTATCGGCACTGGTCTCCCTGAGCCAGCATAGAATTAAGTAATTTAACGGCAGAGGTAATTGCTGAAGTGAGTGATTGGAGTTCAGTGCTTACTAGGCTTGAGAAAATTCAAATCTAAAGCCCCAGAAGTTTGCTCTGGCCATTAAGATAAAGACTGCAGCACACCGCTGTCATGGGAAGGTGCGTGCCTCTTCAGAGGAAAAAATAGTGGGAGAGCAAGTGAGGACAACAGGGGTTTGAACTGTTGGTGTGGGCACTGGGCATGTAGAACCAGGTTTCTAGTCCTTGCTTAAATGTTAGTTTGTTCTTTTGCTTCCCCCTCTCCCTGCCACCTCCTCTTTTTTTTTTTTTTCCTGCTGCTTTCTGAGACTATTGAAGTCTGAGGTTTGTCAGCAATTACCGACTTGCCCTCCCTGCCGTGTCCTGGCTGTTCCACGAGGGCAGCCTCAGTTGCATTTGGTGAGGGGCTTGGTACTGGTAGCATGAATTAAGGGATCTGAGGAGTGACTACTGGAGTGACGCTGGGAGAGTTTGGCAGAATTCCTGTTTCTGGTGTCCACCTGAAGTCAGGAAGGAAAGGGGCAGATGTCTGAATGAGCAGAGAAACTTGCAGCTGTTGGTGAAGTAAAAAGTAAAATGCTAGGGAAAACTGAAGTGCCCCCAAGTTTGGGGAGCTGCGGAGCAATAGTGGTGTTTGAGTTAAATGCCCAATGTTTTCCTCTGAATTTAGCTCCTAGCATTACTTTGAGTGAGATGCATGAACGTGGTGGTGTCTCCATCCTTCAAGGTGGGGCTTTACCTCTGACAGTCCTGTAACCATTCACTCTTTGGGCGGGGAAGTGAAGAGATGCCCCTCTGTTCACATTAGCTTTGCTGATTGATACGGTCTTCAGGGTTTCTTCTCCGTGTGGGGGAGGTTGGTTTGTTTGGGTTTGTTTGTTAGCTTCTCTCACTGTCTGTTTGCAGGGCTGCAGTAACTGACTGGGCAAACCCTGCTTTTTATGTCTCTTCTAACTAACTGTAATTACTAAGATCAAACAATGGAAGGAATTAAATTCTAGACTCAGCCTGGCCTTCTGAAACTGTATCTTGGTGTCCACCCCTTGCTACTTTCACATCATTCCCAGCTGTGAAAGCATTCCCAAGCCTGCTTGCTGGCTGTTCCTGGCCCAGTTGCTTCCAGCAGTCTTGCAGCACCTGGTGTACGCTGCAGTTGTGCCTCCCTAGCACTGATGGAATATGAAGGGCTAAACCCACGCGGTGCATCTCCCTGGTTGGCGGTGGGTGCAGCGCAGGGCACGTGTGCTGTCGGCAGGGGACTGCGCCTTCTGACTGCACCCACCTATGGGGGCTGAGAGGGAGACTTTGACCCGTGGCCTGCATCTCCCCTGGAAAGGGCCGATGTGCTGATCCACTGCAGTAAATGGGCTCAGCTCCAGCTGTGCCCCGGAATAGGGAGGGAGGAGTTGCGTTTGGGTTTCTGCCCCAACAAAATGATGAACTACATGTCAGAAGAGAAGCACTGTGCGCTTGTTCGAGACTTAATGTTTATTAAGGAAGTATTCACATACTGCAGAGGAAAAAGGTGGGAGTGGAGGGAGAAGAGAGGACCATCAGTGCTGCTGGTCAGATACACCTCCTTTTGTGCAAGAAAAAGGACTGACAACGTTCTAAGCTTCACTGGGTGTTTCCATTCATTGTTGCTGTCAGTGTGGGGAGCTCAGTGATAGTTTGTGTGTGTGTGTATGTCCCCGGCCCAGCATCTGGGCTGTCACCTACCACTTGGTCCCTGAGCAGAAGCAGCATGCTGCTCCGGCCTGCTCCTAGGTATGTTGCAGCGGAGAGACCCTCGTCTCATCTCGGTAGTCAGTGACCTCTCCTCTTACTCTCTCTCACTCAGTTTGGTTTTCCTGTGCCACTTCCTGACAATTGCATTTGCTCATTCACCTGCTGTGAATGCATACTAATCTGCTCCTTACTATGATTCCCTGAAACTAGCTTCAAAGCAGAAGGGAATTAGTTTGGGGAAAAAGTAGGCTAGCAGTAGCCCAGCCAGGCAAATAGCATCTGCCTTACATGGCCTTTACCTTCACTTTCAGCAGGGTCAGGGAAGTTCCACTTGCTATATTTAAGAACTAACTTAGGCTTGAATTAATTGTGCAGTAGTACTTGATTGTCAGGCTGGGAAGAGGAGGTAGTGCTCTGCTAGGTAGAGCTCTGCTGAGTGGCTGGATTCCTTCTAAAGCGTTAAGAATTTCTAGATGAGATGACCAGTTTTTCAAAAAAGTTCTTGCTAGCTGTAAATGCCTCCCAGTTGCCAGGCATTCCCTGACTGCACTGCGACTCAGCCCTAAGCTTCAGGAAGACTGGCAGCTTCTTCTGTACCGGTCATTTTGCAAGTATGAGATTGTAGCTTTGGCTCTAGATAAGTGTCTAACTTACCCTTTTGCTACTATTAGCTTAAGCGTTGTAGTATTCATACTGGTAAATGGCTAATCCATCTATTTTGTGACGCAAGAGAAGAGGGTTTCCAAGAAAAAACCTCTCTCTCTTACCAGTTTTATCCAGGTTATGGGTATAGCACAAGCTGACAGGACTAAAGCTGTGGACTAGCATGAATGGATTTTGGAAGGGAAGAGAGTGTGCTGGTGTACCTTTGGGCCAGTTTCTCTTACCCAGTCCTGGCAGACTTCTGAGGTGCCAGGGAGTGTGAGCTGATAAACAGTCCACCAGAGAATTCTCTTACAGAAGAGGAAAAAAAACCCCAATGCCTGTTATAATGACAAAAACTTAAAAAGCATCGTTCCAAGCATCCTTGTTTATCTTTTTGGCTTTGAAGTTACATAAGCATTTTGGAAAGCATAATGTGAGGATTAATTTAGACACATTTGTGAATTGTTACTGTTTATGTTATTTTATTAAATGTTCCTCAAACTAGAGGAAGAGGAGGAATTAGTTTGCAACACACTATTCAAAGCTATTCTCTGTGCTGAAAGAGAGCTAACTAAAGCTTGGTCAACTAACTCATGCCACTGCTGCCTGCCTTTTTGGCACGTGCTGAAAGTCTGAAGATAAGCTTCCGCATCTCTCCTGACTTCTTCCCTGAGATACCTCACCTATCAAGCAAGTACTCAAACATAACCGTACTTAAGCGGCCTGGAGCTCATTTCTGTAGTCCAGGCAGAGCTTTGGCAGCCCACCACCTGGCTACAGAGACACGGTACCTGCACTTGGCATAGCAAAGCTGTTGCTTTACCCTTACTTGGTGTAACTTCTTGGTATGTCATGGAGGAATGTTGCTGCAACTGCCAGACACCTTCAGTTTCCTCACTTAAGGCTGACCTTTGAATATAAGGCTTCTCCTATCTGACCTCTGGCTTGAGGGACCGATAGGGTAATGACACTAAATACACTCTGCAGAATCACCTACTCTCTTACATGGGTGGTTTGGGTTTTGTTAGTGGTTTGTGTGTTGTGGTTTTTGTTTTGTTTTTTTTTTTTTCCTTTTCAACAGTCTGCAAGGCCTGTAATTATCCAAAACTTCTGGAGGTTGATAAACAGAGGAACTGGACATACCACAAGAATCTCAAAGAGCATTCTTCTTGTTGAGGATTTTGAAGCCAGAGATGCTGGAAACTACGTGTGTATAGCTCGGAACCTACAAGGAGAAACAACAGTAGCTACTAAAGTTGAACTAAATTGATAGGAAAGGCTTCTGGACATAGAATGAACTGTATGTTATTTGACACTTTAGCAATTTATTTTCTTTATTAACGTTTAAATGAAGTTTTCTCTATCACTGTCTCTTTTCCTGTGTCAATGCATTCCATATTCACTAGCTTGATAGGCATAACAGAGTCCCCATGCCCAGCAGTTGTCAGTTGTGAGTTAAGAGAACTATGATGAAGCATTGAAGTTTAAGCCTGGACATGCATAGGGCGTATTATACTTAGGACTAGGTGCTCTTGGGCTTTCCTTTGCATATGATCTATTTCCTCAAACCCTTTCGTAAGGTGAACCTGCTGTATGGTTTGTGCTTTTTTTATATATGTAAGAACTCAAAAATCCACCAAGCAGGTATATCCCTTCTGGTGCTGTGCAGTTAGAAAGTTTAGAGTACATATGTGTTAAAAACAACCACCGAAAAAAAAAAAACAACAACAAAAACTTCTTATAAAATAAGCCAATGGCAAATGTTTATTTTGCAAGAATAATTAAATTTCTGAACATTATGAAAATGTAAATGTGTGTGTGTTCATTTCATATATGTATAGAGACGTAAACACACAAATAAAATTCTCACTCTTGGGGAAGATTAATAGTAAATATATTTTAAGGTGCTAGAGGGCATCTCCAGAAACTTGTAAGTGGTTGGGTATGTTGGATTTTCCCTATGGTGTTACATTCTTACAACCTTATAATATGTAGCTTATTAAGAGTTCACTCCTCAATAGATGTATGGTGTTACATTTACTAAATTATGTAGCAAATTGTTTGCTACAGGTAGAACTTGTGTTTATTTATGTAGCAGCATCTACAGAAGAAAACCCAGATGCAACATTAAAATAACATTTGGTTATATAGCAGGTTAGTAACAGGTTCAACTCAATTGCATTAATTTCCTTAGGAGGACAGGAAAGGTGTTTCATTTACACAGAATTCTCTAGAAAAATACACAACTGCCTCTCTCAGCCTGGGTTTAGTTACCAATACAAGGAAAGGAATTTTCCAGAGAAAAGGTAAGAACTTGATTAACAACGTTTTATAAGTAGCCTGAAAGGCAACAACCTACTTGGTACAGACTCAAACATCACTGTAACTTCCTTTGAAACTTATCATTAGAGTTGGAACTACTAGTTAACGTTAAGTATCTATCTGTCTGAAGAAAATAATTTGTTCAATTGCTTGACTAGCACTAGATCTTTGGCATATATTTATGGTGAGCAGGTTTCTCAATTTTCCTGAAGGAAACTATATACTAAAGAAATTACCAAAAAAAAAAAATCTGTAAAAGTTACTGGATGAAACAAAGCCTTTGCTAACACATGGTATTTAAGTTAAAGCTTGAGATATTAATACTCAGAGAAAAACAGTGAAACAGTGCTTACAGATGAACAGAATTATTTAATTCTTTCAGACCACCAGGACAAGCACTGAACAGGTATTGCTGTAGTCTCATTTCTGTACACAAGGATTCTTCATTTTGTCATACGAGCATTAAAGATTCTACTTGCAAGAAGTTTAGAGATGAGGAGTTTCCTGTATTGTGGAGGGAAATTAACAAATTAACAGCCTTTGTATTACTTACTCTCTGATACTTTCTGTACTGGTAGCCAGGAAAAGCTTTCCCCTTCTCTGTCACAGGAAGGGATACACTACACTTGATCTTCAGCCATTTGTATGCACTCTTCTTGCATGTTTTGTTTGAGGCACTAACATTGCAACCAAGATAATAAAGCTCTTAGCAGTGGGTAGACAACTGCTCTGGTGCCATGGCCTGGCAGATTGCTAAGCTCTATGTGGCTTTGCTCACACCCAAGTTTTCCTGAATAAGGTGAGCATTTTAGTACGATGAGTCCTGCAGGATGCCTTTACCAGCCATGTGCATATTGGGTCCCTATATTAAGCCAACTGTGCTGAAGTCTTTTCTTATTGCTTAAGTCTGTAGTGGTATCTACATTCTCCTTTTTTTAACAGCCAACTCAAACTGAATCGCTAATAATCACAAGCAAGCTCTGTGTAACATCTAACTATATTAGAGTAGCAAGAGTTAAAGTTAAAATTTGCTAAGGGTTAGCTGAACATTAATAATTTGTGCAGTGAAGCTTCACTATTGCTGCTCTGCTGCGCTGAGCAGGTACTAAGAGTTTTTAGTATGAGGAGGAATGTTCCTCCTTAGATTAAAGATCATTTGACTAATATAAGCAGGAGAAAAAAAAAACCCTTCAATCAGTACAAAAAAAATTTATTTTTTAAGCATTCAGCTCAAATACATGTGATCAAATCTCTTTGACCATAGAAAATAAGAATGTTCCAAGATATACTTTAAGCTAAGTTGTAGCCCACAGAGGATTTTCATAGTTAAATTTGAAACCCCTAGAAAACATTTTAAGTACTCACTCCACTAACAAGTGGTACATACAGTGCCCTACAGAGGATTCAAAGAGAGCATAATGTTCCATAGAAACAGCACTCTTAACTTGTACATTGTGGAAAATTAAGTAAATTGAATGATGAAATAGTCACAAGTTTAAGTATATTACAAGGTTACTCGCTGTATGAGCACTGTTAACAGTCTTGTTTATACGTTTGTGTTCCTCATCAGTAGCCAAGATATTTCAAGCCTTGTGTAAAATGGTTTGAAGTGGTTCTCCAGTTGAGTTCCCTAAACACTTTCCATCCCCTCGATTTCTGTCTCCAAGCTAATGAAAAACACAAGATGTAATTTCCCATGTCAGTCACCAGTACCACTGGCTAACAGCATTAGCTAAACCGCAGTGTAACAACGGTCACGGAAGTGGTACTGTAAAACTCAACCTATTGTAAGCTTAGATCGTGTTTTGTAATACTAATTTGAAGTTGAACCTGTGTTGAGTAGGTGCAACGTAGACATCTTAAACAGGTCTGGCCAAGGGTGTAGCAAAGCTACACAATTACCTTGTTGAAGCTGAAGCTCAGCGTATGACATTTCCAGAAATGCTGACACCCTCAGCCTCCAGTTCCAGCGGCCAGGACAAATCCCCCCCCCCCCCCCCCCCCCCCCCCCCGCCCCAACTCTACTGAATCTCTTGTACAGGATCTTTTGCCAAAGGAACTGGCAAAACACGGATATCCTGCAGTCTAAGAGGGATGAGATGGCAGAATTAGCAAGATAAATATACAGCTGCCACCTTCCCCCTCTTCCTCAGGCAAATTTAGCCAACCCTGAAGAACGTTAATACAAATGCTAATGCTTAAAAAGGCAAAGTGTGTCACCAGATACGCTGGCATTCACAAATTACTTGAGATTCTTCTTGAGAACTGAGTTAAGAATGCACCTAATGATAATTATTGCATTTTTCTCTTTGGCTTTCAAATCCACCTCTAGTTTATCCTCAGCAGACAACCTCAGCAACAGACATGCTATTTTGCGGAAATAAGCGATTCCTTTTCAGCAGGTAAGATGATGGCTCTAGATTTCTAAATCTGCAAATTAACTAATAACTTCTGACCTTGAGGGCTACTGTGGTTCTGACTACAACCCTGCTGACTTGAAAGCCAAAATCCACTGTGTGCTGTGAAAAAAGTCTTCTCGTAAATGGCAGAGTTGTGCACAGATAGTAAAACCAAGAATCAATGCAAAATATGGCTGCAATTCAGTTTGTTTTTAAAATTAATTCAAAGCTGCATACTCAGGTGAGCCAAGACACTATGGAGTCAGTTGACAAGGCTTTTCATGACATTTTTTTTTTTACTGAACTGAAGCCAGAAAGATGAAGGAAACTAACCTCTAGTACTAACGGCAGTTTCTCCTCATTGAGGGCAAGGGTACTCTTTGCTAAAAGCATGCATACTGACAGCATTATTAAGGAAGTCCATGTCAATGTATAGTCTTCAGCTTTTATCCTTTATTACATACACAGCAAAGAAGGCAGCATTAGACACACGCACAGTGTGTTACATCCATTCCATCCACAGCACACGCGCATACACACGGCCTTTAAAAAAAAAGTGTCTGTGATAAGGAACATATTATAAAGGTTGTGATCTTTATCTCTAAGCCCCTGAGCTTTTTCTTATAGTTAGGTGAAAAGGCAACGAACAAGTCTTTCCTTGCTCTGTTAAGTGCTTTGTGCAACGATGTCCATAGAGGTCATAAACAAGTCTGTCAGGGAGGAGTGACACGAATGCCTTACTCCCGTAGTCTCTTACCGCCATTTTTGCACCAAATCGTTTCCAGTTATGTTTAGTTGTCAATACTCGGCTAATATAGCTCTTGCTCCTGTAATTAAAGTTAGGATCGGTTCTGCAGCTCACAAATGCAATGCAGTCCGCTCTTTCTCTCGAGAAATGTCATCTCGGTGATACTGTGGGACTAGAGAAGTTACCAGAATTTCGTGGGGACTGTAGAGGCACGGACGGAGAACTGGGAGACAGTTTTCTTGGGCTGCATAGGTCGCCATTGTGCAACTTCCACAGAAGTTCTTCATTTTCCATTGACAGGCGTTTGTTCACTTTTGATTCTTTCTCTAGCGACTCCTGTAAAACGGCTTGCTCCGTAGAAAGTTGCCTGCAAACATAAGATTTACATCAGAACACATAACCCAAGTTGGAGGCTACAGTATTGAACTTAATGGTTAAAGAAAGGTTTGAAATTGCATAAACCCCTGCTTGGCTTACAACTAAATGACTTCCTTAAAAGGAGGATTTAGCACGTTCTCATCCTTGTTGGATTTAAACCGATAGCTTGCAGAAAGCAAGAGACAATCCCAGTAAGAAATATCCCTAAAGGCCAGAAAAAGCATCTGCAGAGTGAGACTTGTCCTGCTTACAATGAGAGATGCTGTTAAATGGCCACACTGGAGCCTTTGGGTCTTGTGGCAGGCTCAGCTCTACACAGAGGCTGCATTTCCATAGTTTCCTTCAAACCAGGAGAGTTTGCCCGTCCATTTAAGCAACAGTTGAAGTCAGGAGAACCTCAGACCCATTTTATTCATGTTAAATATTACTATTATTGCTAAATAAAACACACCGGTCTTTTCACTGATCTAAATTGGGGACAAATCACTCAACTGAAGTGGTGAAAAGTAAAACCAGGTTCAGCTCACAAGCCAGTAATGCTTGAAGAGCCCACCTATGGTAAGATGGTAGTTCCAAGTTGCTTTTTCTTCCCCAACATACTGTTTTGGAGCACTGAAGAACGTACTGAGCCTTTACCCCCTTACAATCTGTTCCTGATTGTTCTTCTACAGAGGAGTGCACATTTGTAGAGGTAACACGTGGGGAAGAAAGGGACGTGTTCTTTTACAGAGTACCACAAAATCCTGGTCACTAATATTTACACAGAATTGTCCTTCTTGTCACAGGAACACCTTCCCCTGGTTCATAAGAACATCTAAAAGTCCACAGATATTTTTCACCTTGAAAGCTCCATGTGTTTGTCCATCCGAGCTTTTAATTCTTCGTTTTCTTGCTGAACCTTCTTTAATTTATCCATTAAGATTGTGTTGTTCTCCAGCTTAGAAAAAAAGGTCATAGTTTAAAATAAAACCCATACACGCACTCACCAAGATACTGACTGAGCTATCACAGACGTTCACAATCTGGAGTTTGCAGACCTTGTTATGCGAAGTGCAAAAACCTAAGGTGAGACTGACCTGCTGTCATGGCTTCATGTTCTGTAATGGTCAAATAGATCCTATGTACCTTCCCCTTGCAGAACGCTGGCATTCTGCCTCTTGTGCTGATTAGATGCCAACAAAGGAGGATGGATAAGGGATCTACGAGTTAACCAGCACGTTCTGGTAACTTCCGCCAGTGACAGGCAGCAGTTTCAGAAGCTGTTGCAGACAGAAGACTGTCTAGAAATCACACGCTAACGTGACAAATGCAAGAGCTCCCCTGTGTAACCAGGTCTCCCTGTTGCTCTCCTGATTCTACTTCATTGCTGCAGGATGTTATCAAAAGTTAAGGAAAACCAGTGATTAAATGGTTGAATGGTTCAAGGGCTTCTATACTGTGGCCAACGTCTGTCAGAAAAGATTAAAGTTTACTAGTAGTGTACTAGTAATTGTAGACCAGCGCAACATATGATGCTGTACAACACTGAACAGCTGACATGAATGTATTCCTTTGCATCCAAACCTCTTTCTTTCTATACATCCTCATTAAAACCTTGCTTAAGCCAGTATTACAACAGTCTTCAAAGGCCCCACCCAGGATAAGGACCCTGTCCTCCCACAAAATCGAGCACGCTAAATAATTACAAGTTCTGCCCCCCAAATTGCCTTTTCATGACAAATTATGCACAGATCAGGAGCCAACCCACACAGCTGAACAAGTAGCTTAAAGGTAACAGCTAAAGTGATGGACCTAAGCTTTATTTATTCCATTTCATATTTGGTCCCTTCTTGTTTAATTAGGATCATTTCCACGTTAATGTTTTCCTGACCGTGCAACCTATCTTCCGTAACAGTCAAGCAAATGTAGCAGGTAAGGATTTTTTCCTTTGCGGGATGGGGTAGAAGAGAGGGAAGAGGAAAGGAAATGTGTCAGAGGCTCCCAGATAACCCTGTACTAACTTAGCAATAGTTTATGCAAACCAGTAGTTGTCTTAAGAGGGTAAAAGGTCATTTCCAGCACCTGGTGATTCCCTCCCCCTCGTTACATCGCAGCCCAAGGCAGATACAATTGTACCTGCACTGTGAGCCTGTCCCATCATCATCTCACGTTTTCTTTTAAACAAAGAAAAGTTAATCCTCGCACGTCAGTCTGACCAGCTCGAGTTCATTATCAGAACATAACTCAGAGACACCGTCTAAACCTGCCAGACCCCAAGGAAAAAACTCACCAGTTTTTCCATCTTCATTAACTTCACATCCTGCTGATGGAGTTTCTCATTCTTGATCTCCAGCACTGCTTTCAGACTTTCCAGCTCCTGTTCCAGGTACATGATCTGCGGGTTTTTCTGCAAGATTTCCACAGAGTTTGCTTAGTGCCCTGAATTTCAGGGACAATTTAAGTGCTGCTCTGCTATTTAGAAAAAGCAAGAAGATAAATATGGTAAAGACAGTTACTTGTTCTAAGTGAAATCAAGTCACACAGTTTAGAATTTAAAAAGAAAAAAATAAAAAAAAAATCTGGTACCACTTTCATCCTCTGATTTTGTTTGTCCTTTGGTGTAGGTGGACAGTTGCAGTTTTCCTTAGAAGTTGTTCAGAAAACACTTTATGCACAAATATGAAAAACCCTGGTGAGTCAAAGGCAGGCACGAAAGCTGTCACAGCAAAACTTGTTTTGCAGGAGTGCCCAAAGGCTCCCTTTAAGGCTAGGAGTTCCAAAATTTATTTCAGATTACTCATAACCCATCCCAAGAGGAAATTAGAGTAAACATTTGAATAGTTTTCAGATGCTGGAATAGTTAAAAAAAGTACCAGAAATTTAAAGCTATGAACTTGACTGCAGCTGATTTTCCATTTTGAGTCTGACTGTAGCTGGTTCATAAGCAGAAATAGAAAATTTTGGGGTTTACATTGTTCTTAAAAGCCTAGCAATGCAATTGCACATAAAAATCTTGCACTGCTGTACATCCATGACTTATCTACCATACAGCAAGTTAGGACTGTCTTTTTTTTATTTTTCCTCATTTTGTGTTTTCCGGGAAGTGGAGGGGAGAGGCAGGAAGGGGAGAGAGCAGGGTCAGATCTGGTTTCCTCAAGGACCTCTTTTCCAGAGTACGGAACCATTCAAACACTGCAGAGTAAAACATATTCTCCTACGACTCAAAGGCAAAGTCACAGGCAAAAATAAGGAGAAATAAAGCAAGTCTGGGTCCATTTCCAGGTAGTCCAAGTGGAACACACACAGAGATCAATCAGTGATTGTGTTGTGTAGCTAAGTTCATCTTTAAAAACAAACAAAGCTTGTTGCAGCGTATTTGGGTAAGAATACTGGTGTACCGCGCTGAGTAACAGCTTCACTGCCGCATCAGAAACCTCAGACTGAGAGGGCAACGCCTGCGGTTTGGTGGGCCGCAGTCCCACATGGGCAGAGCCAGTACCTTTCCCAGGTAACAACGGCCTCATCACCTACACGTTTCGTTCTCCTGCCTGTGTTTTTAAGGACTGTGGCATTAGTGATTCTTGTTTAATTTCTACGTTGGAACGGAAGTCCGTGTGAGGGTGGGGTGGGGCGTGCTGTGGTGCCTCAGAGGAGGCAGCAGACAATTCCAACTTCGTTCCTCCCTTCTGTGGCTTTGCGGGGAATCTAGGAGCTAGTGAGAAAAGCGATCCTGAAAAACTGAAATGCAGCTTACAGTACGTTAAAGTTTAATTTTTTTTCTTTCCCTCCTCTGCCCCAATGGTCTCAAAATGTCTTTTTAAAGTTAAATCTGAGCCACCACATTAGCTACTCATAGTAGAACACAGAGCCAGATAAAGACTGAAAGGCCTACATAAAATATTCCCAAAAAAGCTGGCAATATCAAGTGACGCTATCTAAATAATGCTGGAGAGTTGGAAATACACCTCTGTCTTCAAAGGGCTAATGGGAATTTTGATAGTGCAGAATTTGTGTTCAGTACACAAGAACATACTGGGTGAAATAGGTATTTTTCCATAGAGAAGCCTCAAGTTTACAATGTGTCTTGTGCTGTCAGGATGCAAAGTGCATTTGCAGCTATGTAAAGGCACCTGACTATGACTCCTTTAAATTAAACACCTGAGCATGCCTATGGAATACAGTTCAAACTCCCAAGTGCACCGTACAACACGTTCTCTTTGGTATCATCTCTCCCAATCACAGCAACATATTGTGGTTGCAAATTCTTCTTGCGGCAGCTCTGTCCTGCCACTAGAATAACAGGTAAGAGAAAAAATAAATTAAATTCCAGCGAAAACCAGGGCAACTTCCACTGGAAGCATCCTAAGTGAGTTTTTAAGCATGGAATTTCTCTTTGTGGGATAAGCAATACTACTGGTATTCCAGTTATTTCCAGGTAAGCAGAAAGAATAGAATGTTTGTGTCTAACCCTCCCAGTGCATGAGAAACCTCTCTCGGAGCACATTTCTAACCCAGGAGCATCACAGATAACAGCAGCCTTGGGAGGAAAGGCAGGACAAAATAAAAGTTTATCTGAAGGACAGATCAGCAACAAGTATGAATCAATGAATAAATGCATTAAAGACTCAAGTACCAGAAGTGAGTTTTGTAGCAGCGATGTAAGCCTGCACTGATCATAGTGCCGTTACAGCTTTTATCGATGGTCCAGAAGAAAGCTATGGCACAACTTTTGTGTACATATAGGTCTTCGATTTAACTTAGTGTATAACTTACACCGCTGACTTAGATGCTCAACAGCTTTATAGATTTATAATGGCAAAGTTAATACACAACACTGTAGTCCTTGAGAAGAACTTCTGGCAGGCGAGCCATTTACATAAAATATTAGTAACTATGGGAGCCCTATCACGCTTGATTGCAAACCTTTCTTATTATGCAATAAACTAAACCCAGGCTTACAAGACCTGCTCATCTGCATTCCCTTTGAAGATCAAGACTTACGAGATTGGCTTTTTCTTTGGCTATTTGTTTTTGCTCTTCCAACTTCAACTTCTCACTCAGAGAGTCGTTTTCACATTTTAATTCATCGATTTTTTTCTGAAATGAAAAGATATGGTATAGTTAGGCCAAGAATTCAGTGCACATCTCCAAACTGCCTTTTAAGTTTTAGACTGTTGTGACGACCCCGACCCTTAACAAACCTCTAGCAATTCCTGCTTCTCTTTAAAGGAATCTTCAAGGGACTTCCTTTCAGACTCATGAGCACTCTGGAGCTCTGCAACAAATTATTTTTGCAGATTTTTAATAGCACGTAAGACATGAAAATTCTTTTTGAAAAGATGCGGCATGAAAAACCAGCCAATACACACATGCACAGATGCAGAGTCAGTGACAACACGAAAAGAACATTTTATCATCAACTTATCCAAAGCACGTACACAGATTTACTGCTGCTTCAGATTTGTTGGTTGTCCCCTCGCAAATCCATTTCATTAGCTGACAGCATGTCGGTTTTGAAAGCATTCATCTACATGCAACGAATGGATGAATTGAGCACGAGCCACATCTGACAAAAGCTGTTTCCGAAGGGAAACAGCAAAAACTGAAATTGTGTCTTCCACAAGCTTCTAGAAAAACATTTCCCTTCCTGCTTTGGAGCTGCCATGCAAACGAGTTTGCTCTTTGACTGCAGCGGAAGCATCACCAGTTTTGGTGACGCAGAAGTATCACTGGAAACTTGGCTACCAAGTGGAGTTGGCAGGAGGATGGAAATCACCATCACTTCAATCAATTAGATGCCATGCCATTTAAAACTGAGCACACTCATCACCCCCTCCCTGAAAAACCACCTTTGCCCCAGTACACTGTAAGCAGTGTATAGTATTTCTCAACATTCCCATGTCAGTCTGGAAAGCACCCAACCCTGCTTATCCTCAATTTCAATTTTGAGGTGCTCCTTATAGAACTAGGGGAGTGGGAGCAATTACTCACTAACTTGCGGTTTTGAGAGCAGACTGCAATTCAGACATCTTTTGCTGAAAGAAAAAGCCATCTCCACTCAAACTGTTTCAAAAGTTTCACTTGCCTACAATGGTATCATGGTTATTTCTGTATGTAAAATGAGACTTGTTCAGTTCCAAAAGATGGAATTCAGCCAACGTTTTTAAAGATAGCTGACAGCCAAGAACAATGAAGTGGACATACTGATGAAAAAGCTTGAATATTTTTGTTTGTGACTAGCAGTACTATAGCATGTGTACTTGAATACAAAATACTTGCCTGAAAAAGAGGATTCATACTCCTTCTTCAGCTTCTCTACTGTTTCTGAGTGGCTGTTTTCAAGTTCCAGCTTAAAGTTTTCATGTCTGGTATTTAAGTTGTCCACCTGCAATATGACAACATGATCTTTGCCCCCCTTATGCATGTCAACTTATCCCTGTTTAAATGGCTTTATGCAGTATGTTGAGTAGATTTTAAATGGTCCAGGTAGCACTTAACAGATGGTCACAGGAGAAGCCAAGCCACATACAACACTTAACAGATGAGAATGACGCCTTACAGTTTACCACTACCAACAGGATGACGTATGCATCTGTCGCGCACATGGGGCTGTTGCAAAGCAAGGTCCTAGGCCAGGTGTGTTACTATAAATCTTAAAACTCAAGCTGCCTCAAATAGCCAGTGGAGCTCTAGAGGTCACTGAAGTTTGCAGAACACAAGGGATCTCCACATTTAAACTCAAGCTTAAGATCTAGACAGCTTCGTGTAGCAATATTTTTATAATTGCAATGAAGTGGAGTTTCACATTAGATAAAATAACTCCAGTATTGGCAAACCCCAGGATTCTCTGAAGGCTTATTTGTAGCAGAAAGCAATCGCTAGAGAACATTTTCTACTTTGAATGTTACAAACCTGCTCCTGGAGTTGCGCTTTGTACTTTTCAGCTTCTTCAATGCAGATACTTTGGAGTTTCTCACATTCTGCAGTGTAAAACTGTTTAAGCCTCTCCTCCAGATCAGCTAAATCATTGTGATGTTGCTGGTTTAACTTCTGCAAAAACCCTTCATAAGCAACTTGCAGTTCATTCCTGTCTCTCTCCAATTTCTCACAAGCTGCAGAAGTGGTTACTGAAGATGTCAAAAGAAAAAAGAAAAAAAGTAACTGGATCAAGTTCAATCCTAATTTCACCGTCTTCGTTACAAGTATTAAAGATAGCAAACACACTGCACAGCAACATGGTTATACAAAGACAAATATAATTTATCCATGAAATGAGCACCACCTCCAAGGACACATGAAAAGATCTTTGCAAAAATACCGAACTCAATGTTTCTTATGCTGAGAGTTAATTGAATCTAGTTAAGCCAGGAACCCATACAGAAAGCACAAGTGTGACAGTTTGTCATGACAGAGAAGAATGAATGTCTCATGAGAGACACTGGAGTGCTCCAATAAAAAAAATTAATTGGATTTGCTACTTCACCTAATTTGATCCCACTTCAGTAGCATATTTGTCAGAGTACTTCACTTTTTGATATATAAACCACTTAGCTAAATTTGAAAGTCTCAATATCCTGAAGACCATCCATGTTACTCTCACTTGGATATGCAGGAGAGAAGCAATTCTAGCCTGACACAGACTGCCTGATTCCGAGCGATACAATTACGATTCTCAAACGTACTGCCAATATACATATACACATGATGTTCAAATATGCAAGATACAGAACAGTTTCAGGCAGAAAGCGCAGAGTATTAAGAAAACAGAAAGAAATGCTGTGTAATTCTCTTTACATTTATTTTAACACAGGTCAGCTAAGAAGATTGCCTAGGTTTGTCTTCCCACATTTAGAGCTGATTAAAAGGCAAAGCAGAAGTTAGTAACTTGTACTTTTGAGTTTGAAATTTAGCATTCCCGACTCCAGCCAGCCAGGCCCGAATAGGAGGAGTCATTTTCCTGCTGTTAATGTGACTGAAGCAAGTGCCTTATACAGTTCCAGCTTTTCCACCCAAAGCCTGGAAGCAAGGTGAAACAGGACCTCTAACACAATCGTGTGGTCACTGACCTTAAGCAAAACTGCTTCTATACATACTATAGCGCTTTGGATTAAATAAATTAGTCAGATGAATGTCTACTTAAGAGAAAAATCAACTAAAATTTTAACTTGATCTTCAACCAAATACTGGAGAAGTCATGCATACATACACTTTATAGCAGCTCGGCACGCTGCCCAAACAGTATAAACATAAACTCTATGTAAAAACATTGGAAGATTCAGGGATTTTTGTACAGGCAGTACCGCAACTTCTCATCACAGCTGTGTTTGAGCCTTCAGATATATAAATCACAAGGGCTGATGCCCAAAGCAGTACTGGGCCCGCTCTAGGGAAAGCAGCCTGCCTCAGCAGCGTGCCTCAAGTTACACACGTGTCGGATTCCCCCTTTCCTCTTGAAGAGCAAGTGAGTAACTCCATGAGCGATACTGGCACTCTCTTTTAAGGAAACCGCAAAGAAGCCTTGGCCCTGCTGCCATCACTTGGAACCTGCAGCTGAACTGAGAGTGTCGGAGAGTGAGCTGTACTGCATGGAAATCAGTCTGCGTGTGTGTCTACCTGAGTGAGTTTTAACAGCAGGCTTAGCTCTGCGCTAGGTCTCTCTGAAAGATCTGCTGATCAGGACAGATTTAAGCCAAGCTGTTCATCCAGTGACTGGCAACGATGCAACTAAAGGCTCAACTGAAACATGCCACAACATTCTCTGCAACCCAAGCAGATTTCAGAGTTTTCTATACTTTCTATACCACCACCAAGAAAGGTTTTTATTTCCCTACCTTTATTCCTTCCACAAGTTTCTATTATAACGGCTCCCTTTGGAAAAAAAAATGGAAACATTGGCATTCACACTTCTATCACATCGCATTGGCATAAAGTTATTGAATATATAGATATGCTCTGCATTGTCACGTTTTTGGGGAAGAGGAAGCATCACAGGTAGGGGACATTATTTTATAATGCAAAGAACCAGGCAGCGAGCCAAACGGAGACACTACACAGCCAGCCACACGCAGAATGGATCTGACCATCTAGAGCAGATTAAGAGGGGTATAGCTGAGAGGCAGGCAGCTCACATGTCTTATTTGAGATAAATGTAACAAAATGCTTCAAATGATCCACTTCCTTCAAAATCAACAGACGAAGAAGCAAGCATCTGATTCTTTATTTGTAAGGCCAGAGCTGTTTGTTTGCCTCCATTTAGCTAAAAGAATGTGCTGCCTATCACTGTCTTATCTTTAAATGTCACCACGCAGAACTTCAGATGATGCAAAACACTTCAGAAGAAAAGCAAATAGCAAACCACGCCTTTGTGAAAGAAAATGGACACATCAGTTCTTGTTCAGCCAGTTTGCAATTCAGATTTATGAGAAGACTAATGTTACAAAGGCAAACAAAAACTTAAAACTTGCATTGGCAGGTGAATGTTCTGTTACCTTGAAGGCAGCGTCTGGCCTCCACAAAGCTGGAGGCTGCAGTGCTGCCTCGCAGATCGCAAGCTTGACTTGAACCCCTGCCATCCAAACAAGGAGCAGGACCACTAGACAACCAGTGAGCTCCCTGTATCGTGGTGGTGCAAGAAACTGCGCGTGTGAAGCTTCAGCAAAACCACCAACTGAGGAATTGTCAATTTGAAATTATGAGAAGTCCTATAAACCAAATTGTCCCCATACTCAAGATTCAAGTGTCTGCAGCAAGTCTTTCGCACAGCTCTATCCATCTCCAGACTGAATCACGTACTTTATGACTGAACGCTGCCTTGTTTTAAGAAAGGGACAAGCCATGAAAAAAGCAACTAATTCCTTAGTTTCGCCATTCATCCACTGCAAGGAGATGCCACAAAACTCCTGACTAACCAAACTTGATGGGTACTCAAGAGTTTTCTCATTGAGCTGGTGTTTATTTGAACAAAAATTTCTAACTGGAACATGTGCTCTTCCAGTAGCACACGCAAAGTTTCTATTTCGACCTCTCATCCACTTCAGAGACACCTGAAGGGCATGCTTCAGAGTTTTTGTACACAACTACTGTGCTTCCTTTCCCTTCTTAAAGTGCTTCCCTCTGCAACTGCACATCTTCATTATGCCACGCATTATAACAGACCACAGTCCTTGAGCAAAAAAAACAAACAACAGGAGACAAATGGCCCAACTGCATTTGAGAGAAAAAAGCAAGCCATAGGGATGAAAAGATGCATGATCCATTTGTCCATTAAGTTTCTTCAATCTCATCTGTAACACTAAACAGTTTTAAGTTTTAAGGACAGAGCATATGGAATGATGTAGCTGGCAGCCAGAAGCAAGATTTACTACTTTATTCAAATAGCAAAGCCATTCACATTTTCCCCCCACTTGGTTGTCCCAGCCTCTCCTCCCAATCATACAACACTGTCTCTCCCTGTATTATTACAGAGAGCAAGATTAATCTGTATTTTTAGGCTTCTTAACACCTCTTTATTATAAACAAAGAGCCTGATTCTTTTGGGCAGAACCACGACCTCTGGCAATCACAGATGCCCACAAAAGAGAAGTGTGGAGAACCAGGCAAGTCGCAATTCCCTGCAATGGTGCAAAGGGCAGCAGATCCAAACCACATGAACAGTAGCCCCAGCTGAGGGAAAGGACTACAAAAGTTGCCTTAGTATCTCCAAGAAATCTATTTCATATTTTCATTGAAAGTAGCCAAGAGATAAGACCTTACAATTGTGCAGTATCTCCTCACAAAATTTAGTTTTTTCTTACTCTAATTATAAAACAATTCATCATCCAATTCAGTCCGTATGGCTGAACTGCTTACATAAAAACATTTTTCAATTTACATTCCCCTAAAAGTCACCATAACCATAGCTCTAAGAAGATAAAACACAATGGATTTTTCTTTGAATCCTGAATTAAATGGTTCTGAAACAATAGTTATAAAATTGTCTAGAGTCACTCACTGGTCTAGTTATGATTTATGAAAAGCTGTTAGACTGTCTGAAATTTTGAAACAGAGGTTGCTAGGACAGTAAACTAGCAGCACTTTAATAGATGGGGCAGATGTGAAAAGGGGATAATTACCAGAAAACTTCAAGTATTTAGCATGGTGTTATGTCACAGCACCTAACACTTTATTGCTCTAACTTTATATTTCACGCTGCAAGATCTATTGTATATGTTCCATTGATCAGTAAGTCTGCTGTAGACACAAAAGCTCATTTCCTTCTCCATATAGTTGTTTTTAAAAAATTGTTATCTCATAATTGATTCATGTTTTTGGCAGATATTAGAAATATTTTTCATGCTTTCAAGTTTATAACCAAGTTTCTCTTGGTGTTACTTTGATAATGAGATTAATGGTACAGGATGTTAAGCCACATCTCCTATTTTTGTTCTTGGGCAAGTTGAAACAAGGCAGGTAGACCAAAAAAACATGCTTTAAGCTACATTTAAGTGGGTATGGTTGGATATGTGAAGCATATGTGAAGTGTTCACATATCTGCCAGGAAGTAAGTTCCTATCCTCTAATGCTGCAAACAGTACAGTGTCAGCAGGCAGGCAAGCCTACAACTCCAGGCAAGTTAGGCCCTGCCTCAAATAATTGATAGAAATGTCTGCTACTATTAAGTATTTTTAAGGATCACCAAAACCTGAAAACCAAATCACATTCATTCCATCTGTCCGTAAAACACAATAGTCTTTTTTTATCCCAGCCTCCAAAACATTTTAAAGGTCATTTATTAATAAAAAAAATAGCATGCAGGTATTTTGAATAAAAAAGATACCTTAAAGGTATTTTTAAGAAAATATTGTTTATCAATGGCAACGCAGCAAATGGAGGGGAGAGAGAGGGGTTAGGCATTTGGCTGGCTGTACGGGATCCATGCAAGCCTCTCCAGCCCACTGAAAAAGGCTCACAAACGGCAATTTTCCAAGGGCCAAGGTGGGTGTGGGCTGAGTCAGCTTTGCACCTGCTGTTTTCTAGCAGGACTGAGCTGGATCACATCCAGCACGGTTGCAAAGAGGCTCCGAAACAATTTGGAGCACAATTAATTTAGAGGAGTAGTTTCGTACCTCTGAAGAAATATGCAGCTCTTGCAATTTCTACTTACGTAATTAAACAGATAGCTAGAAATAATTTACACACTAGCTTGCATCTTAATAAGAAGGGAAACAGGTGACAAACAGGACATCCATACCTGCTCCAGGCTCCCAGAACCAAGGCGTTTATATCCAAACCACAAAGCTTAGTCTTTGTGGCTGGAGATTTTAAAGAACCAAGTTCAGAACCTGACTTAACAAATTTGAACTCCTTTGGAAAAGCCCATCCCCAAACACATCAGCATTGCTAATCCTCGTGTGCATTTCCAGCTACTGAGAGCAGAAAGCAGTGTCCGGTAACCATCCGCCTCAGGCTTGGCACAGCCAAAGGCGGGTTCTGAGATGGCAATGAATATTTAAATCGTTAAACAAGGTATTTTGGCAGAAAGGGTCATACAGAATTACCCAGCCACATGGACAATTTGACAGTAAGCCAATTTGGTTTTGCAAGGTAAATCAAGGAGCTTGAGAGCGCACAAAATTAAACTTCAAAGCAAGAAACTGAGGAGTCCAAACTGTGCATGGTGCCAGCTGCAGGAGACTTCACGTTCCTCGCAAACTGGGCAACAGGCAGGGCACAGCCTACACCCAGCGGGGCACACCTGGTTCCTCCTCCCAGACCGGCGGCTCCTGAACTGCAAACCGACATGCATTAAAAACACAGCAGCTGGGTCTCCACCAAACGTGTCCACACGGCCAAACTAAGATTTAAACTGTACTTAATTTTCTGAGCTAATCTGTGCCTAGATCATACTGTGAATCAAAATTCACAGTACTTATGTCAAAATAGCCTATGGAAATCTTAAGTTCAACTATATCCATTTAACAGTGGCAACAAAGCTGATTAGCAGGTGTGTATTTAAACAGATTATTTTCAGCTAAAGCTGTTACAAGAATGCTTTTCTCACACTTTGTCAAGAAATGAGGTCTGGCTGGCTTTACTACTTTATTTTTTTTAACTTGAAAAACCAAAAAATCCAAACCCAATCTTTTTAAAGCTAGATAGGACTGAAGAACTGGGTAGTTTTTCACTTCTGTGATTAAATGCACTCCCTTTACATGCTGAGGAGAGAAGTACAGACAGGCTAGACGCGTGACATGGTTAAGACAAAGGAGCTGCATGAAGATAAATCACTGAAACTATGGTCTGGAAATCTTACAAAGGGAAGCGAACCCGAGGCTGCCACTCGGATGCTTCTGGGGAGCAGACCCAGTCAGATCAGCTCTGTGAGGGGAATGGCCGATGACCTCGTCCAGCAGCACACCGGCCAGAATCCCCGGCGGGCAGCGCTCTGCCTTCGCCCATCACAGATTCATCAATCTCAGTTGCATTTGAAGTCTTTTCTAGTTATCAACCTACTGAATGACATATTCTTGCAACGGGAGTCCCATATATGAGCTCAGCAGGCTGTTAATCAAAGCAGAAAGGTAACAAGTTTATGGGAAGCTCATTTAAGAGTGAGGCACCCTTAGAAAGAATTGATCTTTCAAAAAAAAAAAAAAAAAGGGGGTGGTAATGGGCAAAAGTGCTGGCTAGCTTTTGGTCTGCTCATCAAAGCTGAATTTTCCCTTTCCTGATAATTGACAAACATAGTACCTAGGTTGATAAAGGAAAAAGAATATTGGAGATGCAGGCACATGGAAGAATAGAGACTTTCTTGCTCTGACAGTAATCCTTCTGAAGTCATTTTCACGATAAGGTAAACAAATGTGTTTGCCCACAAAGTCACACATATGTACATTAAAAAAAAAAATTTAAAAAAATCTCATTTATGATATTTATAGCACAACTTCCTAGGAATGCAAGAAGCCCATTTCCACACTACGATTCCAGTGTTGTTGCCACTTTAGAGTGACAGAAGTGCCAGCTCCAGCTGTTGGGGGACACAACCCTCCACCCTGCTGCTCCTTCCCCTTCTCTGCTCCGGCAGCGGTGCTCCTTCAGCCACATGCTGAGCCAGGGCAGGCAGCTTTGGCAAAACAGCAGGTCAAGCCATTAGTTTTCAGCTGCCTTAGGTGCCCAGGCCGCTCACCGCATGGCTCAGCGCACAGCTGCCCGGGCAGCAGTGCTGGCACACGGCAGGACAGAGGGACACAACGGCAGAGGAAGGCCTGCTGGAAACAACTGCGAAACTGCAATCCAGGTGCTTCGTTCATAGGAAGGTTAAAAACTGCAGCTTAACAGATGCCAGACTGCACCAAGCTCAAGGAGAGCCTCTGCTTTTCAGTACTAAGCTTCCAAGAAGGAAAATGCTACACATTTCTGCAGCATCTTTGGTACTCTCGTCTATCTATTTAGGCTACAAGGCTTTCTCTGCTTGTGATACTCCCCATTCACACATTTGCAATTTTATGTAGCATTAAATAAAGCTCCCAGAAATCTGCATTTTAACATAAACCTCTAAATTGGATGACAGTAATAGTGACAAATGGAAAATTTCTGCTCTGTTGCTTCAGCTGGGGGGCTGGGGAGACCCCTCCCCCCCCAGCACACTTCCAGCTCTGAGTAGTTGCCAGGGAATGCCCGTCTTGCCAATCAGCGCTAAAAAACAAATCTGAACATCAAATGCACCACCTGCATGTTACAAGACCTACATTCACACTCAAGTTTGGCTGAGACAATACTCAACTTCCAAAGCGTGTGAAAATAAACATTTCCAACTTTTCAATAATAAGTGACGTATCTGAAACTGCTCCACATGTATTACTGGGGGTTTCAATGCTTTTTTTTTTTTTTCTTTTTTTTAAAGGGGCTTCATCATAACAGCAGTGTGCTTTTATAAAATGCCAGCTTCACTTTCAAGTGCTATCATTTTCAAAGACTTTTTGCACTCCACAAGATGTTCTGCTTTGAGTTCAAGTTAGTTATATGAAGTTACCATTAAATGCAGTTAAATCAAGCTTCAAAGTTGGCAAAACCAGCTGCTGCACATTATAGCTCGATTTCTTATTATAGCTGTCCACTAGGATGAGTTCAAAGATTTAATCTCATTAGCCTGATACCATTTCCTTCTGTTAATTTTACACTCATTCACCTACAAGCCTCTAAGGCAAAATGCAGATTTTGCACAGTATATTTTACAGGTTAATGGATTTTTGTCAGCAAATCTCTAAGAGACAGCATACAAATAAGTTCAGGATCAAACAGAAGTATATATACTGTCAGCCATCCTCCCATTTTTAAGAAAGCGAGCGCTTTGGTCATCAGACACATGTTTTGCGAGGAGGCCCTGCTAGGCGCAGTCAGATTGGTGCCAGGAATTCGGTGAACCTGGGGTCACGCTGTCAGGGCTCCAGAGAAATGCAGCGATTAAAGCATCTGAGCGGAGTTCAGCCAGGGAATTAAATGACTGCCATTACAGTACCAGGGCATCTGTCTTTCCGCAGATTTGGTTTGCTGCATTTCTGTTCTCACAAAGAATACAAAAATAAATTCTTACCTAGTTCTCCTCGAAGGTTAACTAGTTCTTGAGATAACTCTTTACGCTGTTTCAGTGCTTCCTCCCTCTGCAGAGAAAAAAAACAAACCCAAACATTTGGTTACTAGTGATCTGAGCAGGGCACCTTCCAATAATTAACTTACATGTGTTCTGTAGGAAAACAAGAGGCAGGAGTAAGAAGCCAAGATATGAATCATTTAGGATAACAATTCTGCTGTTACAAAATACACAGATGTTCTTCTGTTGTTAAGGAAGTTATACTTTAAAACAAAGAACAGCTTTTTCCAGGATAACACCGCAATTAAAAATCCTACTTTGCAGCAATTAATTATATATTTTATGATGGGTGGAGCAACATAAGCCTCCAGAACAAATCAACTGATAGCTGTCAAGGGCACAAAAGTACGGTATACATGTGAGAGAGGCATGCATTAAATATTTATCTTAAGCATAATCAAACAGAAACCCCAAAACTTTGCTAAATGCTCAGTCTTCCACGAGGGCAAGGCACAGCCCTGTCCAAAGTTGACTACAACACACCCCACTGCTCGCAGTTCTTAAAATTAAGATAGATGATGTTTCTTACACCAAGAGAATCATAACAAATCTGTGCCCAAAACAAGCAGAAGCACCCATCTCCCTGATGTGCCTAGGAGCTGTGCGCCTCAGCCTGGGGAAGGCGGTCAGCCAGGCCCCCCTGCCCCCAGACCCGCACCCCAGGGAGAAGCACAAGGCACAGCCAGGGTCGAGCTGCTCCACGGCTCGGTGACTGGCATCTCGCACCCACAGCCATGGTGCGGAGGTTACAAGGTCCAGGCTTCCCGCTGCCAGGGCACTTTCACCTTGCTCATGGCCAAGCTCCAGTCCAGCTCCCTGCCATCAGAAAAAAACCCTGCAAAACCAACACTCGTTACCCTTGCTGCAGCACACTGAGAATAGAGGCAGAGTTTGCTGCTAGAGCAGCCCATCTTCCAGCTCCGGCAGCCCCTCGCTCGGCCCCCCGGCACTCATGGGCGATGCGCAGGTGGCGGCACGGCCACCCCGGCTGGTTTGGCCATGGCCGAACGGTAACGCTGGACCTTGCCTCCGCAGGTTATCCTACTTCCGCGCCGATCGCTCCCGACAGCAGCAGATACTGCAGCTTCTGCAATTGGCACAAGCAGCCAGCGATTACTTAAAGCCACAGCCCTTCTTTTATGAAAGGCGAGCCCCAGACATTAGACCGATCGATCTCCGCTTGCTCAAACGGCAGTCGGGACCGCGAAAGGGAATGCTGCCCTTCTCTGCAGATAATGGACCTTATTTTTAGCCGTTTCGAGCTTGCTATACGCTGCTTTCACACTTAATTTGTTGATGCAAAAAATAAGCCACAGGAGGCCTGAGCTGAATGGGAGAGCCACAGATAGAGCAGCTTTGCTGCTGTCAATGCCCAGGCTTATGTTCATAGTCCCTGCACATGCAAAGAGCTTGAAACTCACTTTGCATGCCTTTCCTTCAGTTAGAATACATTAGAAAAAATATAATTATAATGCACTGGCCCAAAAATCACATCGACTTTTCCACAACTGACCACAGTAGATGAGTTTGCATACTGGCAGGGCCACACCTGCCCCTGGTTTTCCCCAGGGAAAACCTCACCTTTACAGCAGATTCCCCGTTTGCCCCCATCACTCTGGCTGCAGCCTGACCCCAGGCTAATGTCTTAAGGGCTCTGTCCTGGAGGAGGGGAATACTCAGTGCAAGCTGGAAGAACAAATAAAGCAGTAAAATACACCGTTCTTAAGACAAAAATAGAGGGAATGAGCACCCAGAAACCCGTCATGTACTGACACAGGACTAATCAAAATGAGTAATTTTTATGCTATGCACTCTCATCGGCTGCAAGTTATAGGAAATTATTCTGCAGCTGAAAAGGCTGGTTAAAAGAAACAGCCAGCCCTTTAGTAGAAATATTTGTATTTTTGATCTTGCATAGAAAAGATCCCAGTTTAAGCAGTCTTAACAGTTATTTCAACACTGACACACTGGTAAAGGTATTAAGTAGCTGTGTTGCAGGTTTTACATTAAGCACTTAGAAGCTTTTTACAGTGACAGTGGGCTGAGATTGAAAACCACGCCTCGCCCTCCACGGTAAATTCCCGGGAGAGCAGAGAGCTCAGTTATTGAAAGGACTCGCCCTGCTCTTCACTCCTGCTCAGGAAGGAGAGATGAGTCATCTCCCTCCTCTTCAACACTGGTACCTGCTACCGACACAGCATCCAAGGGTGAAAACGTGAATGCTGCAGTGAGGTATTTGAGCCGCATCCTAGCAGGCTGGAGAACAACCACGTAGTGGATTTGCAAGCAAGTTAACTACCACAGCATTTTTATTTTCATGCTGCGGGCTCCTGATGGGATTTTCCAAAGCTTTTATGGTGACTTTGTCCATTACTACATCAGTGTACAAACACCCTCAGGAGATTTTTTTTTAATATGCCCACTCCCCTTGGTTTGCATATTCATTCTTTATCCTAATTCTCAAGAAGTCATCCTTGCACCTGATTTCTTCCACCCCATTCTTCATAAAACATGTCAAATTTTGCCCCTCTCAGTCTGGACCATGCTGCAGACCCTTTGGAAATGCTAAGAGTTTTGGCAATCTGATGAGAAAAAGGCATATGAGATCAGAATATCAGAGCCTGACAGAGGCTGAGACTAAAAATCGAAAATAAAACAGAATAACACTGCATTACTAATTTTTTTTTTAATGTTTCTTGCTTTCTGCTGCTCTTAAGCCCTTTTGCTTTTTACTGGTGCTGCTTTTTAACCTTGTGCCTCAACCTCCAGCTTACCCATTCATAGTTTCACAAATCAAGAAATCCAGACAGACAGACTAGTATCATCACCTCCTGTTAAAGAATATATTCAGAGAAAGCTAGCCATAGAGACTGCCAGCCTAAAATAAGAAGAGTAAGTTGCTCATATGGTTAAGCAGCCACATGAAGTAGTCAGACTGACTAGCAGCTAATTTAGCACACTTTTATCTATGTTCTGAGAGAACTGAAGCTCCAGGTACAGGGGTCTCACCAAGAAAACGTGAAAGTTTGCAAGACCTGAAATCTAAGTGCAGTGAAATACAAAGACCACTTGAATAATCCAGTAAGGGCCATCTTCAGTATTTAAAGACAGGTATGCACGTGCTTTGGACTGGAACATCAACCAACCTTCTAGTTTATGCTTTACAAGATTCTAGTATTGAAAGAGCATAATCAAGTGGGAGCATACAGCATCAAGCAATTTTGGCATTGTTTGTTTATCCAGATAAATCTGGCAATAGGGATCATCCTCACTTAGTTGTAAGAGACTCAAGGAGGGTCTTCATACCAATTTAAAGCTGTTCCTATCACAATTTATGAGTTTATGCCAAGATCACGCAGGATGACCGGGTACCTAGTTTTCTTATTTCAAAAGAATCCATTGTAGGCACACAAGAAATCTGGTTGAGCTTTAGCCAAAACATTCCCCCTACCATAAACATGGAAGCCGTAGGAAGGAATAAGAACAGAGTTTGGGGATAAAAGCTTTGCCACAGGCAATGTCAGGGCAGTACACCTCTGCTATCAGATGCTACCAAAAAATTCTCAGCTTAAAGAAGGAGACTTGGACATTTCTTGTTCTGTGAAATATTAGGCAGTTAAAAAATCCTTCACATGTTTTGAAATTTTGACAAGTGAGTTCAGGGGGACATGTGCCCCATAGCAAGGGCACTAGGTAAAGTGAGGTATGCTCCGTTACAATTAGATGGAAAAAGATGAGGTCCAAGGTAGGAGGGTTGGAGAATATGAGTTTCAAGATGACAAAAACGACCAAGTCAGGAATGGAATAAATTACAAAATCCGTCATTCATGTTTGTTTCTGGCAGTTACACAGCCCAGTTCCAGGCTTAAGAGTATTTTTCCTGGCAACCAGCTATTTTTGCTACAGCTTGAGATTCAAACAGACCAGCCTAGGGTCATTTTAGATACAAAGGAGCATGAAGACGCAACAACATCTGAACAGTTTCTATCACTCTGCTTTAAAAGCAGGAAGCACTACAAAAGTCCACATCCCAGAATGAATAAAAAAAGGTATTTATACCAAGCACGCAAGCAACCAACCTTCCTGGCTACGTACCTATACCAAATCTTCATGTGAGAAAGACATAAGACCTCCAAGAGCTCAGGTTATGAGCAGTTCTCAAGCTGGAACGGGTGGGTATTCCTCAAGCATCCCACACCTCCTTTGCAGATCCCAAATCCAGGAGCATGCAGTTTTATGGCAAATTGGCAACTCTTTATTTCCTTGAAAGGACATGCAACTAGCCAGATTAACCATTTCAGATTTCCCAGCACAGTCCTGCTGCTGGCCAGCTGAGGTGACCCTGGTGTGGGAGCCCCATGCTCTGCCTGCAAGTCAAGGCTTTGAGTGCCACAGATAAGCTATGCCTGGCCAAAAAGCCCTATTCACCTTCTGCAAGTTTTTCCTCCATGTTAAGAACTACAAGTCCTTCAACAGCTACTCAGTGTAGAAGAACAAACCATGGCAGAAACTGGGTTTCGAGTATGCGGTCCAACTAAGCTAACGCTGTCTATCTGGAGGTAATTATCCACACAACACAGTTCACATTTTAAACAACCACACTCCTGGAAACAAAACGTGTCCTCTTTTGGAGTTGTACTAAACAAAGAAGAATTTACAAGAACCAATACTGAAAAGTTTGCATTTATATACCAAAATATGAGGGGTTTGTTTGGTTTTTTTAATTTCAAGCAGCTATGTCACACCAATATCTATGTGATAAGCTACCTATCTTAGTTGCCCAGTCTATCCCATGCAACGCATCACCTCCTCCAGGAGCTCTGCGAGATTTCAAACTTCTTAGCAAGCTTCTGTCATCGAGCAAAACCCTCTCACTCAATTTATCATCCTCAGATCAATGTTTCCAGATCTTCCTCAAAATTGTACTCGTGTGAAGCCTTCTATCTTCTATCCATTAATGGGTTCAGAAGAAGTACTGCCAGAAACAAAAACTGCAAAGCACTAGTACATTGCAAAGGAACAGACACAACCCACTTCTAGGTTGTGAAATATCCCAAGGAATCAGGTTGTGTCATGGGACTTTTCCAGTATTGTGACCATACTGGAACATTCCTCTCTCAATGCTTGGATGTGAAACGGTCCCTGCCCAGAGAAGGAGGAGAAGGGCCTGGATGATGACAATGCCCAGCACCCCGCGGCATGCGTGCAGGCAGCTCTGCGTCTCAGGCAAAGAGCAGCACCTGCACCTGTCACAGGCAGAGATGTCTCTCATCTGGAAGGCTGTAAATAAGCCTTCTAGTTTTATCAGCAATACGTTCTGTAAAGAAGTAATTTCAAGAGTCAGAACTTATAGGGAGGAGAACGTTAAGTGTTAAATATATTAAAAAAATTACAATGCCTTTTTTAAAAAGCATTTTATTAGACTAGACTAAATAAAATTTGTTCAGAGCACATACAACAGAAATTCATCAGCACCGCAAAGAACGGAAGCACTTAAATGTGTTTTACTGTCACATACAAGGCCAAGTTAATTTTCTTTTGGGAAAGGAAAGCCTGATTTTTGAAAGCCATTTGCTGTCAAACCACAAGCACTTATGCCTAAAATCAAACTTACAGAGAATACTAAGCATCTTAAAAACATAACAATAAATTAAAGTTATTTGCAAGCACTTCTGTAACATGTATGCTTAGACCTTACAGGAGATGAACTTAGTTTGTACAGAAGAAAAGATCATAGTTTAAATTTTATTTAATAGTGGTACAGTCTCAGTTGTCAACAGATCTCAATATAGGATGAGTCTTTCTCATCTGAGGAGATATTCTTCTTACGAACAAAGCATTAGAAATTGGAGTCTACTCTATCCTTGTGCTACACTAGGCATGAAAAGCTTAGCATCATCATCAGCTGTAATGTAGAAATTAAGTCGCATCTTTGCATGAACTCCAGTCACTCATGTGTCATCAGCTATAGCCTGGAGGTAATTATGAAGGGGTAACGAAAGGGCCACTCATATCCGCTTTGCAGTGTGACATTTGCTTTGTT